CTACTGGGCACACTGTTACCTCACTCAGCCGCAAAGTGGATAACCATCGACGGAGCATACAGGGTAGCAGGGCCACCTAAATCCTCTCCCATCATGAGCAGAGACGTCATCCTGCGATGCCTTACACACCACGACCAAACCCAGATCATGTCAGCAGCCAGAGGCAAAACACTGCTTACATTCGAAGACGCCTCATTATCTTTCTTTCAAGATCTCACCCGAGCTACCCTCCAATGGCGCAGAACCCTGAGACCAACCACACTCAAACTCTGAGCGGCTGGGATAACATACCGCTGGGGACCAGCCGGGACTCTGACAGCACAACATAAAGGAGCCACACATACACTCACCTCAGCAGAAGGGGCGCCCGTCCTCCTCGCCTCGCTGGGGCTGGCGCATAGGGTCGCGAACCCGACTGCAGCGACCTCCGCGGACACCTGGAACCCTGAGTCCGTAATCCCATTTACACCACGAGCCGGGGGCTCAGGGACTTGACTCCTCCACGAACGGGTGCATACCAAGACCTGGCACATGAACTGCCCGTTGCGGATAGACACCAACCTGGACATGTTTTGATTTCCTTAAACGGAATATACTCCTGCCTTAATCTGTTTTAACTAAATATACTTCAGCCTTAATCTGTCTTAATTTGTTAATCCTGAAAGTTGACGACTGACGTACTCACACAGGTACAACACTAGCAGGGGACCCAGACGATAGCCACACAACGACCGACGAACTCCCCCCTCTCCTCCACTGGACACTGACTTACTCACACACCCTCACCAAGACCCGGGAGACACTTTTTAAGTGCTCATCTCCTCGCCACACTGAACCCCAGATACTGGGATAAGTGGACTGGCGTAGACAGCACAGATATGCAATGCACACACCTTAGCCCCGAAAGGAAAGACTCAAAGCATATCACTAATTAAGAAGCTGAGATACCTGAACACTGACCCACATAGACTCCACTAACATAGACTCTTCCGGCATCTCTATACTGTTTGTTACTTGTAAAAAACAAAACAAAAACAGTGCACTGATACTATCACTTAACTGCCACCAATATGTATAACAATGGCATACTGTTTTCTCTTTTGTATTATGACATGCTAAATCAGCAGCACTGCTAAAATAAAGAATTTAAAAAAAAACGGGAGCATGCATTTGTCAGAAATGGTGCTGCTATAGAGACCAAAATATATACAAAATACAAATTGAGGAACAGCACAAAAGAATATTCCACAGATCCTTTTGGGTTAAAGGACCACTATAGTGCCAGGAAAACATACTCGCCGGGCTCTAGGGGGTGGAAAGGGTTAAATTTACCTCTTTCTCCAGCGCCGGTCGGGGAACTCTCCTCCTTCTCTCCTCCTCCATATCGTCGTCATCGGCTGAATGCACATGCGTGGCAGGAGCCGCGCGCGCATTCAGCCAGTCTAGGAAAGCATTTTCAATGCTTTCCTATGGACGCTGGCGTCTTCTCACTGTGAAAATCACAGTGAGAAGCACGGAAGCGCCTCTAGCAGCTGTCAATGAGACTAGAGGCTGGATTAACCCTATTATAAACATAGCAGTTTCCCTGAAACTGCTATGTTTATAGAAGAAAGGGTTAATCCTAGCTGGACCTGGCACCCAGACCACTTCATTAAGCTGAAGTGGTCTGGGTGCCTATAGTGGTCCTTTAAGAACTTCACTCTGCCTCCAGCTTCAAATGGACCACAGGAAAGTATAAATTAGAGGAGGTTTTGGATAGCAGTGTCACTTAAATAATAATACTTATTTGATAGAGAGCGGATATATGATATGCATTATGACTTTAATTGTATAGTTTTGACACTTTTTTATTGTGTTTTTTTTATCACATTAATTTAGCATTATATATCTTCACAATGCTCTTACAGGAAGATTACTTGAACACACTTTAGTCCATTCAGCATTATCACTATTTAATTTGTCTCCCATGTTGGAATTAGTGAATGACCCACCAATATTGGGGTACTGTGAAGTAGTGGTTGGTTGAACACAATATGGCCATATGGTGAAACTAAATCACTATGTTTGTTTACTGAGATAGGTGATTTTAAGTAGCCTTGTAAAATGTAAAGCTGTATTTTTGTGTGTGTGTTAAATATATTTTAGTTTCTACGGCAGCACCATTGCTGACAAATGTATGATCCAGGTAATTAATGATTTCCAGTGATTGATTGTTCAGTTTTATTGATTATGTACTGACAGCATAATTTTTTGCCTATGCGCCAACTGATTGATGGTTTTCACAAGGCGCTATCAGTTCGAATGTTTGAACAACAACTGACAATGTTATTTACTACAGTGAGAATACATCGCTGACTTGGAGAGGGTTTTTTAAAATTAAATGTAACCTTAAATCTGAAATTCACTTTGAATTTACCTTTAATTCTCGATTTAGAGAAAACCATATTAATCTCTTGACCATTTGTGCTGATGAGGAGTATTAACTAAAGTGGCCAAAGCCACTGATTATAAATAGTGCTACCGTTAAAATTGTGAGAAACAATTATACATGGAAACCTTAGGAGTCATATGTAGGGAATGTAAACAGCAATGAGCCATTGGGAGACGTTTAATGAAGCAGTTGGAGGAATTATAGGGAACATTTACAAGATGTAATATGGGCAGCAGGAATGGGTTACAGAGATCAGTTATACCGAGGTATGGTCATTTTAGAGAGATCCTATACAATAGGTGGAGTTCTAGAGACTTTTTTATATTCTGAATTTATAAGAAATTATTAGAGAGCGTCACTGGAACCGCTTTAAAGAGAGATCACAGGAAGTAGTGCATTTATAAAAAAACGTATTACAAGCATTTATAGGCAATATGCTTACTAATATAAAAGATTAATCAAGTGATTACTCATTGCATTCTTTGCCAGCACTGTGTGATGAGAAGTTTGGTTTGTAGAGTTAGACCTTTGCCCTACCTCCCTTTCACATTGCTCTCCCCCATTCTCTAGCCTGCACAATTTGTCACACACATCCACATTCATCACCAGACTCATACTCCCCCCCCCCCCATACACAAACTCACAAAGTCTGCGATTGGTTGCAAGCTTCTTTTTAAATCCTGGGTGTCCCTGGCAACCACAAGTCCCCTTGTCCTGAGCTATGCCCACCCAACAGGGTGTGAGTAACAAGTGGGACACAGACAGGCAAAAGAGGAACTTTTCACAATTCTACACAGAACCCTGTGACTGACCTTATTTTTGCTGATGCAACCCCCATGTGAAGATCATACAGAAAGTATATTCTGCTTGTGACCAGGTGAGGAGGTGAGGGGGGGGGGTGATCAAACAAAATAACATTTTCTTTAAGAGTTATTTAAAAAATACTCTAGTTAACTTCACTGCAGTGATCATTAACTTTGTAACCAGGGAATACATATGTGCTAACTCTCTGAAAAAAACATGAATATCAAGTGTATCTCAATTTCTATGGCAAAATAACTGAGTTGTAAAAAATATAAAGTAATATATAAAAAAATATTACACAATATATGCACACATTTAAAAAATATATTTTTTTTTTAAGAAATAAGGCAATGTTTTTTTCTGTCATGTATTGTTGTATATGTGCATATATTTAAAAATAAATCTATTTTATAATATATATATATATATATATATATATATATATGTAACAGAGTTGAGGCCTTTTACCTTCAGCTATTTGGGCATAAGATTGCCAATTCCTTTGTCAAGTCTCCACAGACCTCAGTGAACATTCATACTTGCAGTCAATTAGTTAAAGTTAGCAAAGATTTAACATCAGTGTTGGAACAGAATTAGCATCTAGTTTTTGTAGTAAATGGAAATGGCACAGATCCTATTTGGTTTTTTTAATAGAGAATTTGTATTTTTTAGGCATATTTTCTTTACATGAAGGAGATTATTTATCAAAAGATATTTTAAAACCAAATCTGGGGCATTTAAAATAAACAAAATACACACTGCTGTATTCAGTAAAATGTAGATTGGGTCTAAAATCGACAGAACGTATATCTGGAGAATACATTTTTTTTCTAATCATTCTTGATTGAAATGGCAATCTGGTCACCTTAGTCTACTTGAATCTGTATTCAGTAAATTATTTTACATGTACACAAGATCTGCGTTTATATCGGTCGGGGGATTACTCGGAATGTTAAGCAAAAACAGTTTTAGCCTGTATCTCATATCCCACGTTACACCTGTGTGTCAGTACTGTGTGGGTGGATACAGTGTCCTTGTCACTGAGTTACTCATTGTAAGCACTGTGACCTTACAAACCAGTTGTAGTGGAATGTTTTTATACAAACTCTTAAAGGTGCACTGTAAGGGAAAACGAATCAAACAATGCACCTATTGTTATGCTGTAAGGAAATTAAATAAATGACTTCTGAGGGATCTACTCATGTTCCAAGGAAGAATATTCTATAATTTAACCCTTTCAATGTCAGAAAACATAAGGATTAAATACAAATATAATTTCTGTACTTATATTAAAAAAACGCTAAAGATGCATAAATTGAGCAATTATCAGTATTTTTATACACTGACTGAAGCTCAGTTATTGTTTGTGAATTATAGAAAATAGTCAATCATACCAGCTTAAGTGAAAAAAAAGTTAAAAAAAAGTTTAACAAAGTAAATATAAAAATAAGGCATACATTTTGTTAAATTCACTTGAGATCTAAAAATATTATAGTATTATACATTTATTTTCTGGTTTATATCTTAGAGCAATAAACTATTAGAAAGCACTGTGTTATCTCCGGGCACGATGGGGTTAAACACACCTATGTGCTCTCCTGAGCATTACATCATCTCCCCGTTGACACCTGACCACGCCCACACCTGCATTCTGAGCTGGTGGAGCTTCTGATAGGTGACGAGGGCAGGGGGCGGGGAGACAGAACCCAGGGGATGGCCAATCAGGATGGGTTGATGTGCTGCAGGTTGTTCCTGACTCTCATTCCAGGATAGTTCAGGGTGGGGGAAGTATCAGCTGATCAGAGCTGCCAGGCTAAGGTGCAGGGCTGAAATTTACACTGGATGTGGGCTGCTCTTTCAGGTATTCTCAGGGTTCCAAACAGACAGCCAGGATTCTGAGGACACCCAGAAGTCCCTTTAATCCCCACAGGTAAGACAACTTTATGTACTATCAGCAAGATACATAATAATCCTTACATCAGGGAGGGAGGCAGGCCAGTCCTCAATAGCTGCTGTGGGTAGATTTGCCTATTTGTTGTTTTTTTGTATATTTTTCTTTTTACTGTCATAATAATCTAATTTCATTAGGCTGCTATATGAGACAATATAGTTATTACTGTACAACTTCCAGTTGCCATGTTGTTAAAACACATAGTGACAGTCTTTAGCAGACACTGATAACACTGTGATCCTTGAATTGCTTTGTAGTTTCTAGAAACAGATGGTTAAAGTCACAGTGTCTAATAGTTGTAATAGACTCATGCTCGTTTTCTATCTTTGGGAGTTTGTTATTAATAATCACCATTTTGCCTGAAAGCTTTCATCTCTGTAACATATTTTTTTTATTTTTTTTTATGCTATTTTTCACTTCAATATTTTTTTTTTAATGCCTGCTGTAACACACATATTAAACATATGGAGGAATGACAGATCACAAATAACTTTGTTTTAACAAAAAAAAACTGGGTCTCTGCTGCGGATTGTTGGGAATATTGAACATTGTAGTTTAAAGAAAGAAGGTTAGGGAATGTCTTTTTAAATAAATTGTGTAAAGGGGATATAAAAAAAAAAGCTATGTTCTATATGTTTATTGTTTTAAACAAAAACTTTTGCAATAGATTAATCCTATACTGTTAACCTGCATTTAGAACATGGCATTTATGGTACAGGTGGCCAAGATCTAGACCCCAGCTGTTGAATTCCCTTGATGCTTTGCCAGCATAAAAGCCTGGTTTAGATACTATGTGGGTTTATTCACTAAACACAGATGAGATTAAGGTTTTTTTTTTTGTTTGTTTGTTTGTTTGTTTGTTTGTTTTTTTTTACTACAGATCTGTGTTTTAGTAAATAAACCCCTAAATGACGCTCTGGTTCCACTGGCAATCATCACTAGACTACAAAAATCCTAGTGACTATAAAATTGTTCAGGGAGATCTAAAATAATAGAACAAATGTGACTATCCCCTTACTAGTTTAAATAAAACTCATTGTGTTCTACCTTCTTATAGGGGGTACCAGTTGTGGTATTTGTAGATGTTCATGTGACTTTAATTATTTTTCCTTTTGTGTCAGGAAATCCATAGAATACAGTATTCTGTTTTACTTAATGTACCATGCCATGGTAACTGCACAGATTTTCAGATTTACAAGGTGGATACATTTGATATGGCATAACACAACTATAGTACCTGTTAAATACTCAAGGCTTGTGTTATTTGTAGAGTTAACCTTTCATACATCCAGTGTAGATAAACTGAGAATTATTACACTGGGTAATTCTGGCAGTTGTGTATTTCACATCAGGTGTGTATATATATATATTTTTAAATAGTATTTTATTAGAAAAGTATCAAATACAATTATAGTACATGCTTCAATTGTTATACTGACATATAACATACTAACAAACAGACAGACATCATACATACAACCTACTCAAGACATGTCATGGTTTATATTTCTCTAGACTTATTTCCTATGCGTTTCTTGGTTATTTTCCTGCGTGTTTTTACTCCTTATTTAGAATATTTGCTGTCTGAGTTTAAATCTATCTATATATTCTAACCCGATTGTGTACATCTTGTTGTTCTGTCTGGCTTTTGCACTTAGCCATTCATATCTTTTTTCCATCTTCATTTGATATTCGACTTGTATGAATTCTTGTATACTAGGTACAATTTGTTGTTTCCATTTTCTGGCTATAACCGCCTACATCATCAGGTATATTATAAGGCAAGTTCACAATGGGTTGTTTGGTGTTGTGTTGTTGTTGTTTGTTTGTTTTGTTTAGTTTTTTTTGCATTTGTGTTTTATAGAAAATTCAGATGTTCACCCATTATGCATTAGCTGATAAAACCCCCCTTAAATGCCATCAGTAACAGGGTATCAGGTGTCTTCAAAATGTAATTTAAATGTTTTGAAAGTGAGTCCTGAAAATTCAAAAGGAGAAACTGCATCCCTTGCATCTAACCTAAATAAAAAGAAAAACAGAACTCTCTCGATTTTCTACACATGGAATGCAAGCTTAGTACTTTCTGTCCCCAGCTGACTCACAGTAGTCACACTGACTGAGAAACATACATAATAACCAATGAATTAACTTTAATGAATTACTTAATCATCTTCTATTTCTCACCCTGACCACCGGCTCTTTTAATTGAATAAAAGGAGAGTTAGCCATGTTTATGGGCAATCATTGTTCTGATTGATCTACTGTCAGTAAACATTGTCTCATGTGCTTCTTAACTGGATATTCTGCTTGTCTGTGAGAGCATGGAGTGCATTACAGGATAATACACCCATCACAAATTGACCAGCATAATTGTGGGACCCATACAGCTTGCTGGGGACCAGTGCAGTCACATCCCATATATAATAATCTCCCTGTGCAGTGGGTGATTAAATGCTTCTTGTACCTCTGTCCTGTGGAAAACTATCTGTAGCAGTGATGGCTTGTTTAGGCCACTGAGTTACCTCTTTTTTGCTGGTCTGTTGATACGCTCTAAGACTTTGGTCCATAGATGACCTTTCTTGGCAACGTACACCTGTATAGAGGCATTCTGTTGGTTTCCATGAGAATTTCTCCTATTTTTTACACACACTTTTGCCTTTTTGTGAAGACTGTTCAGCTGGCACTGTTAACTAATTTTCAGCATACCTGTATCATATGTGATGTGGAGATTATATGGAGAGATCATGCTAGGAGCAAGATGGGTAAACTCTCTGTTCAGAATGAGCCAAGGATAAATCTGACTGTCATTCTGGGATCAAGGGAATTTTTTTTTTTTCTAGTTTGTTGCAAAATTGGAAGTGGTTTTTTTTGCCTTCTTTTGGATCAACAACAAAAAATAAATGTGAAGACTGCTGAACTAGATGGATACGTCTCTTTTTCTGTCATATGGTGGCAGTACATGTGGGTTTTGCTCCTTTCCTGTGGACAAGCATCTAACAAGATTAATTAAGTTAACAAACCCCTCCCCCTTGCCCTATATAAGGGCTATCCTGCAAAACCTACCCCAGTTTTCTTTCTTGTCCCGAGAGGGAAGGACACAGCATCTAGATGGTGAGACACACAGGCTGCTGGTCTGGGGGATCCGGGCCGAGAGCTGCCTGGGTGGTAGGCTGAGAGACCATGGTTCCGACCAGTAGTTTACGGAGCAAGTGGAGATGTGATTCCTTTTATGCCGAGAAGGGTTCGGGCAATACTTCCTGGAGGCGGAGTTGATCCGGCGCACAGCGGTGGAACGCACGCCCCGGTGGTGCTGCGTTCCACCAGAAGCTTAGGTGGCAGAAATCTAAGCTGTGCAGGTACCCACTGACAGCAGGGATGCTTGTCAGAAGAGGTACTCCGTGTCACCAACCCCCACACGGCTCAGAGGTATTTTAAGGTAAGATTAACTAATCTTTACTTTAAAATTATCTCTGTAAAGTTTATACACGTACGTTACAAGGGAAAAAGACTACAAGAAGTTTATAACCTTGCGGAGAGCGGTAATAAAAGAGTTTCTGCATTTTAACTCTATGGACATAGGGCTTATATCTCCTGCAAAGAGGCACAGTGTGTATCCACTATATGCTCTATGTATTAGTTACTGCGAGCAGTGAGGACTCAGTGTGTATGTATATGTGTGCGTGTGTGTATGTGTGTGTATGTGTATGTGTGTATATATATATATATATATATATATATATATATAATTTATTATTATTGCCATTTATATAGCGCCAACAGATTCCGTAGCGCTTTACAATATTTTGAGAGGGGGGATGTAACAATAAATAGGACAATTACAAGAAAACTTACAGGAACAATAGGTTGAAGAGGACCCTGCTCAAACGAGCTTACAGACTATAGGAGGTGGGGTATTAGAAACATTAGGACATGAAATATCAAGTAGGAGTGAAGCAGAGCTGGAGGAGAGAGCAGGAGACAGGTATGTAAGGTAGAGATTACTCTGGGAGGCTTTCCTGAAGAGATGGGTTTTAAGGCCCTTCTTAAATGATTGAAGACTAGGGGAGAGTTTTTTTATATATATATATATATATATATATATATATATAAATTATTCTCTCTATCTCCACATATGCTCTATGTATGAGTTACTGTGAGATGACGAGTTGCTGTGAGTCGTAAATGTATCCGCTATATGCTCTATGATGAATCGCTGTGAGGTCTCAGTTGCTCTATATGTATCCACGATATGCTCTATGTATGAGTTACTGTGAGCAGTATATGTACCCACTATATGCTCTATGAAAAGTTGCTGGGAGAAGTATATGTATCCGCTATATGCTCTATGATGAATTGCTGTGAGGTCTCAGAGTGTGTGTGTGTGTGTGTGTGTGTGTGTGTGTGTGTGTATATATATATATATATATATATATATATATATTTCCTTCCTCCTCTCCCCTCCCTCTACAGATGAGGTAATGTGAGAACTCAGCCATCAGTATGCGTATACACTAGAGGCTCTATGTATGAGTTATGAGGTCTCTGCCTCTCTATATGTATCTACTATATGCTCTACGACGCATTGATGTAGGGAATCAGCTTCAGTATATGCATCCACTTTTATGCGCTAGGTCAGGCATAGGCAACCTTCGGCACTCCAGATGTTTTGAACTACACCTCCCATGATGCTTTGCCAGCATAATGGGTGTAAGAGCATTATGGTGGATGTAGTCCACAACATCTGGAGTGCCGGAGGTTGCCTATCCCTGCGCTAGGTATAGTTACTATATAGACTCCGCCTCAGTCTATATACCCACTACATGCTCTATGTATGAGTTTTTAAGAGAACATAACCTCTGTATATGTATCCACTATATACTCTTGGATGAGTTTATGTGAGATCTCCGCTTCAGTATATGTTCCCACCATAGGCGCTATATATGAGTTACTATGTGGACTCAGCCTCAGTATATGTACCCACTATAGTCTCTATGTAGGAGTTATTAGAAGGACACTGCCTCTTACTATGTAGCCACTTTTATGCTATATGATATATGCTCCATATATGTGTGTTTCTATGAGGGTTCAGTTTCAGTATATGAGTGTTTTTTTTTTTAATATATATTCTATGTTGGAGTTATGAGGACACAGCCTCAGTATAATGCTCTATGTAATAGTTACTATAAGGACACAACCTCAGTAATTCTATCCTCTATATGCGCTATGTTGAGTTTCTGTGGAGACAGAGCCTCAGTATAGGTATTCTCTAGATGCTCTAGGGATGTGTTCTAGGAGGTTACTTTTCCTGCCTAGGGTTTATCATTGATTTTTCCAGCTCTTTGTGTCCCTCTTTTGATCTTTTGGAAGAGGTGTCCCTTACAGGTTTCGTTCCTCTAGGTCACCTTCTTGGTGGTCGTCAGACCGGCTAAAATATTCAGTGAGCTTCAGGCATTTTCTTCCCCAGATGATTTTTTTGCAGTATTGCTATGGACAGGGTGTTTCTTCACCTTACGAAACTTCCTTTTTTTTTTTTTCTTACAAGTCAACCGATTGTGTCTGCTTTCCCTTGAGTGGTTGTCCCACCTCTCTTCGGGAGCTTAAAGAGTTTATTTTTTTCTTGGAGCATTGCAAGGGTTTTCTTCCTAGGACTGAGGAGCTCAGGTATTCGGGCCTATTTAACCTCCAGTGTATATTGCAGGGGTACGGAGCTTCCTGCAAAAAACTTTGGTTTAAATTGACTCAGACGAGCAATTAGATTGGCATATTTTTCCGGTGGTCCTTAAGTGCCGATATATCTCACAGCTCTTTTCACTCAGGGTAATGGCTGCCCCTAGGGGGGCAGAGCTCTTGTTTCTCCAGTAGATGTCTGTAAGGCAGCATCTTGGGCTGCCTTTCCACATCTTTGTTATTCTCTACAGGCTTGAGATATTCTCATCCTCGTAAACGGCCTTAGGGCATAAAGTTTGCGAGCTGTGCTAGCATTGGACCCACCCGGTTGGGGTATCTTGCTATATCCCACATGCCCTTATATGACAGAAAAAACAGAAATTTTTACTTACTATAAATTTTTTTTTTTTTCTTAATATGGTGGCAGTACAACTTGTTAGATGCTTGTCAACAGGAAAGGAGCAAAACCCTCATGTACTGCCACCATATTAAGAAAAAAAAAGAATTTACGGTAGGTAAAAATTTCTGTTTTTCAGTCTATGTAACTATGAAACCATTCAACAGAACATTCATGAGTGATCAAAAAGCTCTGAACTTAATTTAATGTGGTTTCCAATATATACATATTCTAACCACTTTATTGGTACAGTAAGGATACCTAATGCAAATGCTATGCCTTCTAACTGCATTCTGTTCTCGTACCTTTTTTATTTGTCAGTATCCTTACACATGTGTCACTTATAACGTCACATGAGGAAGCTGTTCAGACTGCTGTATTATTTTTTTGTGCGGTGCAGCCTCTCCTGCTAGTTAAAGGGCATGTGTTAGCCTAGTTTGTTGGTTTCACCTGTGCATGCTAAAACACATTTGCCTGCTGTAGAAAGTAATCATTTTGATTTATATATTTTTTTTCTTCGTTATCAGTGGTATCTCTAAATGCTGGTAGCAGCATTTTCTCTTTTTAAAAACTATAGCTAAAATATATTCAGTGGATTTACCCCTAGATAGAAATTCATCTTTTCACGTAAAATTTTAAAAAATCTGAATTTTGATCAAATTTTGCAATTGTCGTATATACTAAAAGCAAATATGGTTGAAGTGTGATTTATTGTAGCTGAGCACATCTCATTGGGTATTATTGTGTGTCTGCTTTTATATCCGTAATTCTCACAATTCTCAAACACTGCATTTTAAAGGCATTCACTCTGAACAAATCTGATAGAACGCAAAATAAATTCAACTACTTGTGGATCGTGGACATTTTGGTTGGCCTGATATTGGCAGGAAGACAATTGACAATTCTGCTTAGTTATCATTAGTATCTGAGCGTTCAGTTGAATATTTTTATCATTCTGTTCTGGATACCAGATATTAATTTGCATCTGAACAGGCAGAATATTTAATCCATATTCTCTCTAATTCAGTGACTATACTGGAAAATCCAGGTATTTTATATTTTCAGATATAATGCCCCGGATAGTCTGTGATTATTTTGCTCTATGTGACTCTAACTTTAGGGCATAATCTTGCAAGTGAGTAATTCCAGCGAAGAACAATTTGACTGCTTTTAACAAGAAACATTGCAAAAAAAAATAAATTTAACTTTTGATCTAGGATTTGAATATTTATTAAAATCCCAATTATTAAAAATAAATTAATAACTCTGTTAGTTAGGCGGTGGTAGACAACCTTTGCAACACAACTTCTTTAGATCACAACTCACATGACTTTAATCTAGCCAAGAGCCCATGCGTGCCAGAAGTTTCACATCTTGGACTACAGGTTAAATTAATATTGTTGCAATCAGCAGTGCGTTCAATGCATATTCAATTCCCTAATCAGCATATGGTTATTTAGAAGCAATTTTACATGTAAGGGTTTTTAATGGTGGTTTTAGCATAATTCAGCTCTTTGTACATGTTGTTGTTCAGCAGCCTGGCTGGACTAACAATCCATTTATCCAAGTTTTGAATCACAACAGTGGGGCTAGCAGAGCTAGGCACAGCTTAGGATTCCAAGCATTCTTTAACAAGGTATCTGTCCTGCTTCTAAGGCCGCACTGCCAACCTCCTACACAATTCCCTCCGCCATGTGTTTGCTTGTGTTTTCATCCAATAGCTGTTACTATGTTAGAGGCTTTGCCATCTCTTTATGATCAGGGATGAAGAGCATAAACGGCAACACGATGGAGGTCCATATTGATGCAATGTATGAAGGCATTCCATAAAGAGGTCATATGGTAGAGATCTAGATGTTGTGCCCGCAGGAGTAGACAGCTTTGTGCTATCACATCTATAGGTCTTTGCCTTGTTGCTTACCATATGCTGCCAGCAAATGTTTGAAAGAAAAATAGAACAAAGAGATAGTCCTTGATCTGTTTTTTGTAACCTAAGATTTTAATTGATGACAGAGACTTGGACAATGTAAAGGACTACTGTGGGTTTTACATTTAATAATTTGAATCTTGGAGCAGATATTTATTTATAAACTATTTTTACCAGTCTCATTTTTCAAGTATGTCCTGGGATTTGAGGCGTTATCATTATGGGGTTTCTTGTCATTCTGTAATGATGCACTGGATTCTCTAAATCAAGTGTTTTGCATTTATAATTTAATGGCGTATAGAGGCATAAATACTGCCTTCGGGGATTTTTATTGTCCAACAGGTTTCTGCTTTGTAGCTAAAACTTAGACTAAATATATATAGTTTAGTATTACTGATGCAAGTGTGTAGAGCACATAAATTGTGTATTGTTTCTCCCCCTTCCACCCTCTCCCCTCCTCCTCCTAAAATGTCATGTATCTCCAAAAGGTTTCATAAAACTACCTTGCATTGTAAGTGTAAATTCCTCAATGTATAACTGTTGAAAATGGGGGGTTTAAAATAAACAGGGCTTACAATTTCAAGTCCTAGTCTACTAGCCAGGCCTTAAAATTTAGTTGCAAATGCAAGCCTGGAGGATACATGGCAGGCTCACCGCGGATAAATTATTACTCACTAAGGCCAAATTTGTAGATATATAATTAATATTAACAAAGGGAATACTGCAGCTATTGTTGCATATTGGCTTGCTGTGTAACATGGGAGATGTAGTCTATAACCAGTGCAGTGCTGAAAATATTGTCATCACAAAGGGTTCAAAGGGGGGGGGAAGCAAAATTGGGGAAACCAGCTCCTGCGCTTTTATTTTGGAATAAATTCCAAAATTTGTAACTCATGGGATAGGCCAAACAAGTCGGCATGCTAATAGGGATTGTGTGAGACAAGTGTATTTAATTTATGCATTAACATATATAACGTGTGTACGCTTGTGGCTTATATTGGCAGTAAAGTGGCTAATAATGTTACTCTCCTCTGTGCTCTCATCCGTTTTTTCTTTTCCTCGTCAAACCTGCAGATCAAAGCAATGACTCTCTTTATAGAGATGGTCTTTCATCATGATCCGGTCTGATGCGTTGAACTAAAGTTTCTAAGTACAGGTGCACCTCAGGCATCTAAAAAGAATATATCTACTAGGCAGGAGAAACTACCCAGCCAGAAAATACAACTACTCGGTCATCCATTTTTATTTCTTTTTACAGACAATTGTTTGTGTGTGTGAGAGAGAAAACTACTTGTTTTTATGTTTTGTTTCTAGCATTTGCAACATTTATTCCCCACAATGCTTTTTCTCCTATTCCTTTGTGTGTGTGTTATGCATGTATATCTCTATCTCTCATACACGAAGTGACAAAAATACAGGACTAAGAGCATTGAGGATCTTTTACAGAAATCTATTTGTTTATTTACAAAAGTGCATAAAGGGAATACAACCGTAATTCACAAGCAATAAGATTGAAGTCCAGCCTGTTTTCTTGAGATAACAGAACACTTTGTTGTACGGTTCAAAACTGCAGATTTATGACGTGTGTGTGTGTGTGTGTGTACACCTACTTACTACGAAGGGCAAAGTACTTTTGCTTTTGTATGTTGAAATAATGTGAGGTTGCTGTTGGTGATGGCTTGTTGTTTAAGTCGTCCATGGTTTGTTTAGAGATTTACTACAGTTTATTTAGGGACCAGTAGCCAGCCAGGATTTTGCTCCTTTTTCCAGATGGGGTTTAATTAGAAATCTCTGTGAATTATGGACTGTTGAGAACAGATGCATGGCATTGTCCTCGTGAACAGTAAACTATTTGCCAGCTCTTTAAACCTTGAGATTATGGGCCACTTTGGCTGAATTGTAACTCACATCATGGAGACTAGAAAGGGCTTAAGGTTCTGTGAGAGTGGTCCTGTATTGTAGAGGAGCAGCTTTGTAAGCACTGCAGGGTCTAATGGATAATTCAAACGTTATTTTCAATCTAATAATGGCTTCTGGTATCCCAAAAAAACAGAAAAACGAACCTTGGTAAGTAGCAAATGTAAACTTAAAATCTATATATCCATAGGCGTGCGCAGCCTATTGCATAAGGGTATGCACCCTAAAGCACAAACACTCTTGCTGTGTGTGTGTGTGTGTGTATAGATATCTAACACACACACACCTGTGTATGAGGGTGCTGGTAGTGTGAGTGCAGGGCCGGACTGGCCCACCGGGAAAGTTCTGCGGCACCTGGGGCTGGGTTGACTGCCCCATTCAGAACTGATCAGGCTCCTGTAATCCCGGCCTGCTATGTGTGAGCTGTGCGGCTGCACAGGGCCCCATGGGAGCAGGGGGAGCCAGGCAGCCGACACAGCTCACACATGGCCAGCCTGCGATCATAAAAAAAAAAAAAAATTTGCATCGGGGGTGGAGCCTAGCGTGCGGTGGGGCTTAGCGTGTGGTGGGGGCCCTGGTAACTGCTGTTTGTGACTGTGTGTGTGACTGTCTGCCTGTCTCTGTGTGTGTGTGCATCTGCTAGTGAGCGAGCGAGTTTCTGTGTGTGTGCACGCATCTGCTAGTGAGGGAGCCTCTGTGTGTGCGCGCCTGCTAGTGAATTTGTGTGTGTGTGTGTGTGTCTGCTAGTGAGTGAGCTTGTATGTGTCAGTGAGCTTGTCTGTAGGGATCATGTATGTGTCAGTGAGCTTGTTTGTAGTGAATCTCTGTGTTAGTGAGCTCTTCTGTAGGGAGCGTGTGTGTCAATGGGCTTGTCTGTAGGGAGAGTGTGTGCGCATCAGTGAGCTTGTCTGTAGTAAGCTTGTGTGTGTGTGTGTGTATCAGTTTGTCTGTACTAAATTTGTGTGTGCCAGTAACCTTGTCTGTGTGTGTCATTGAGATTGTCTGTCAATTAGCCTATTTGTGTGCATAAGTAAGATTGTTTGTGTGTAAGTATGCTTTACTGTATAATTTAATTACCCTGAAAAGACTAATATTTTGAATTAAAAGAAAAAAAAAAAATTAAAAAAAAATAATATATATATATATATATATCTATCTATCTATCTATCTATCTATCTATCTAAATTAAAGGGTTTGAGGGATCCCCTTTAAAAGGTTGCTGCCTATAAGTTATCTAGCGCTGTCTTTCTCTTTTTCCTTGAGATATATATAGAGATATATATATATATATATATATATATATATATATATATATATATATATATATATATATATATATATATATATATATATATATATATATATATATATATATATATAAATATTACTCCCAACCTAGCACAATGACTTATGGGGCTGGCATAGATTTTTTTTTTTATCCCCAGTCCAGCCCTGTGTGTGTGAATTTGTTTGGAGGGATTGTGTGTGTGTGTGTGTGGGGGTAGGGGGACAGATTAGGAAATAGCCCCCCTCCCTTCATTCCTTTTGCCTTGGAGTAGGGATCCTTTCTGCCATCCCTGATCCCTGGTGGTCCTAGTGTGAGTGAACTCTAGCCTGCAGCAATGCTCCAACCTTGCGAGAGGAACCCCGTGGAGCTGCTGGCAAGAGCTCCCCGGGTCCTCTCCTGCCTCACTCCCTGCCTGTGGACCGGTGAGGGAGATCTTTGATCCCTCACCGGCCCATGGAGGCACACAGCGCGGGCCGCAGGGATTAGGGTGTGCCTAGGCACACCCCCCGTGCGCACACCTATGTATATATCATAAACCATATAAGTCTTAAAGGACCACTAAAGTTACCCAGCTCACTTAATCTCAAAGTAGTGATCTATGTGCAATAGTCCTGTCCTTTTTAATTTGTCATTCTTAAAACCTATGGCCATCTCACTTTTTCAAAAATTTAATAGGGAGATCCTAAAAATTCTATAATCCACAATGACAAAGTGATATTCTCAAAGTAAGTTAAAAAGAACAAGTATCCCATACCATTAGACGAGAATAAATGATTGCTACAAAGTAGTTTCTTTTTTTTTTTTTTTTTTAATAAAAATACGGCTACAAAAGTTAATAAAATAAATAATATAAATGAAGAATAGGGCTGTAAAAAAACAAACAAACAAAAACACAGGGTTTACATGGTTTAAAAAGGTCGTACCCCTCTAAGTGTTTTGTACTTTACAAAAACAACTTTGTTTGAGCAGGATCTTTTTTGCCACACGATATATTTAAATTTTAATTACTTGTGTGTTTTGGTGTAACATCTCCACAGCTCTGTGTATATGTCAGTACTTAATAAATATAGCTGTGACTTCTCCAAGGCCAATTTCTGTGAAATTCATTTTACCCGTGTAAATCACTCTTAAACTGTTGTATTTCTGAGTGTGTTTATGTGTTTGTTCCTCAGCGCATTAATGATTAACAGACTTTCAGAATGTGGTTTCACTCACTGTGTGTGTGTGTGTATGTTGAGGAGGGGTTTGGGCTCACTTCCATTGGCCTCAAAACTCTGTCCCTTATCAGTATGGTCACAGTGTAGAAGAGTCCATTCTTTAAAGGTGAGATCAGAAATTGAGCCTTCGGACCTGTGGTTGCATTTAAAGCAAAATCAACATTTTAATGGCCATCAATTATCAGTTTAACTACACATGATTAAAAGTGTGTTTGTGTATAAATTATTTGTATAGTGCCAGCAAATTCCATAGCGCTGTACAGTGTGTGTCTGTGTGTGTCTGTGTGTGTGTATGTATGTAGCCCTCACAGGACTTGAAACTTTATTTTTAATGGTGATTTTAATCCAAAAGGTAAAGAGCAAGACATTTTGATTAAGAATGGTGTTGCGTGTTTTTCAGTTTACATACACATGGAATAAGTTTTTTTTATTTTTTTTGTTTTTCTTTTTTTTTTAATGAAAATCACATATGTACCTCTCCAGGCTTTGTTGCATTCTTTAAGGTACACTGTGGAGTGTTCACTTAAGGACAAGTGATGCTCTAGTATGCAAAGGGTTACATTCGAACTGGACCTGCGGAAGACTGTATTATAAAGCACTCTAAGGCATGTGTAGGACTATATGAAATGGCTGAAACAATACTACTTTGTAGCTTGCTTTTATGTGAGTGTAATGTGTGTCCTGTATGTGATAAAATCTAAAGCAGGTAATCAGATAACAAGCTTCCCTTACTGGGTGTTTTGTCTTCTGTGTCAGTTAACCCTGTCATATTCCTGTACGTCAAGCTTGTACATCCCTTTTTTATGGCACAATTAAAAAAAGAAAACAAAATTAAACTGATGTACATCTATCTACCTTGACAATGATGGGAAGGTCAGATTTATTGGCAATGTATGATATAATATACCACACACCCTGTCCATACAAAACCAGCTTAGCACATGGATTCTATCAAAATGTTCTGTAGCTCTTACCTAATGTACATATGCATAAGGTTCTCAGCAAAGATTATAGGGTGTATTCCCTGTGATCAACCCAGAATATATTCCTGGATTCCATGCGAACACCCAGACATTCATCTGAGCAAGTAACATGAATAGAGAGAGATATATAATTATTATTTATTTTTTTCCCTCTTCCGTATTAAAGGAAGCACTAATTTATATGTGCAAGCCAAAATAAACCTTTATATCTACCAGGGCTGATATTTTCCAATACCAATGTCAAATGAAAATTTAGCCATGGGGAGTATGCCATGAACTAGCGAGTAAATTATTAAGGTCTGGCTAACAGATGTGAAATTGTGAGTTCTGTATATATTATAAATATACATATTTGCTTTTTGGGATCTCAAATGAAGACGTTACAACTGTTGCTGAAATGCACACTGTGTGTCTGGCAGCTGAGTTGTGTGTGTGTGTGTGTGTGTGTATGTGTAGGAGGTAGAAAGCTGTATAGTAGGGGAGAAGGGGTGTGTCTTAAAATAAATAAATATAATAATAATAATAATAATAATAATAATCTGAATGTGCTGCCGGAGTGTGGAGGAGCATTGTGGCCTTCACAAATTTAAGGTGCAGATCTTTTTATGTTCCCTCACTTTCTGGCAATCCGTTAATGACTAAACGTTGTGTGTGTCAGTGACAAGCTCTTGGAAATGTGAGTAGTTCTTAAAGTGATCTGCACCGAACTGAGGTGCAGTCACAAAGCTCCCTCGGGCAGATAAGTGGGCACAGAGCTAAGCAGAGAGATTTCTGATTATCCTACTGGCTCAAGTAGGGCCCACTCACAGCCAGAGCCCAAGCCCTAGGAAGCAGCCTATGCCACCTGATGGGTGTTCTTGCTCTGCCTGGCAGTGACAAAAACCTCTTGCTTATTCTAGAGCTAGACTTTTATGGGTAAGAAGGAGGCTCTTGACTCTTTGTCATTTCCTCTGTGCTTCATGGGTTTAAGAAGTGGCAGTAAATGAGAAGGAGGTAACTATATGGAAGAATGAGAGCAGGAAATGGCTTGGTAGGTTAGCAACTAGATGGCGGGTGGAGACTGGTAAAGACTGAATTGGAAGTGAGCAGAGACGAAATGGTTACGGCTGGTTTAAGAGAGTGAGCATAATACAAATAGCTGATGTGGGTGGTAATATGGCAGTAGAGATGATTCAAATGGTAATAATGTTTGGTGTATTTGTATATCTCCACATTAGTGTCAAATTCTCAGCTCAATGAAAAAAAAAATCTGTATATCTCCAATTAGACATCTAATGGAGACAGACTGATCTAGAATATATAAATAAATAGTTTTATTTAAAGAGTTTGTTAAAATGGCAACAAAAATAGATTGGTGAAAATTTTGGACTAGAATTTGTCAAATGTTTTTTATATTTGATAATATCTACTCAAATGTTTTATGTATGTGTCATCATGCACTTTTTATTTTTAGCAAAATGCTCCTGGTCACATGGATGAAACTCAAATAGTGACTTTTCCAAATGTAATGCTAATAAACTATTGAGAAATCCAGGATCAAACTCTGTTACTGTGGTATTGCGCTCTGTATCCCCTTACAAAATCTTACTGGTAGCAGATTTCGGAGGATCATACACAAGAGATGCTACATGTTTTTTTTATGTCTTTAATATGGTTTTGTAATACAATAGGGCTATTCATCCCGAGCTGAATTAATAGTTTTCTTTACAAGGCCCAGCTAAGACATTGTCCTCCTCTACAAAAGACCCTTTTAGTGTCAGGTACAAGATAAGGGGGTAGTTGGGCCTGGCAGGCAAGGGGAGATAGATATTTGGAAAGAGGGGGATGGTGACTAAGATACGTGGTAAAAAAAAACAACAAACTGTGTGGCCTGGAAAACCGAGCCAAAAATTAATTAGTTGATGAATATTTTCAACAGTTTGGAAAGAATATATATTAGGTGTAATAAGTGTATTATCCAGGAAACACGTGGTTCTCTAAGTTGTAATTAACTTTATTTTGTTAAATTTTAAAAAAATATTTTTATAATTTTTTGTTTTGTTTTTGTTTTGTTTTCGTTGTTGTTGTATTGGAGTAATCTTACAATCAAACCATAAGTGTTTTAGTTAATTTGCACAATTACTTTTTCATTCTTAAAATTCTCATTTTAAATAATCAAATGCCTGATTTAAACCCATAAGACAATATTGTGTTCTAGGACATGAAACCTGATTTCTCATTTAAAATGTTCAGGATTACATCAGGTTTGTTCTGTGGGTGGGTGGAGGGGGTCGCCTCTTTAATCCAATAAACACGTCAACATCATTACCCATGCTTGTAATCTCATTGCTAATTGCTCCCACAATTGGCCGTGCGTTATGAATCCTTGTGAAGTATCTCATTCATTGGCATAACAATAAGATTTGCAGCCAAGGGAAGCCTCATGGGTTTTGTTGGAAAATCCAGCTGGTTTCAGGATATTTTATTTTACAGTTTTGTATATACTTGTATTTGGATCTATAAGAAAATGCAGCTTTAAAACTTTCTATCAACTATGAATAAAGATCAGATCTTTCTCACTGGCATACATTATATTTTAATAGGACTTCACTAAATTATGACTAAAGGTAATAACATGGTTGTAGTTTTCGTTTATGTAAGTCAAATTATACTGAGAATTTGTTATTCCATATTATATAATCTAATACTAGGGTTGGGATTTGTTATGCGAATGCATAAAACCAAAATCATGCTGATGGTACTCGGTTTCAGTTTGTATAAATGTTAATTGTTCTGTTTTGTGTATCCATTGTTTGTAAAAGTTTTGGTTTCAGTGGATCTGAAATATGCTAAGTGTAAAGTTATGACCATTATCAGTTTGCATATTGTCCTGCTCCTAACACTTCTCAAAGTTTCAACTTTTTGGAGAAAGTTTATGTCAATGACTTCACAGCAGAGTTTTTATAGAGTAGATTCTGTTTTTTCTGGTAAACTGAAAACCAATTTTCTCATAATGTCAAGATAAAGTGGCATTCCGTTGCCAGTGTTAAAGGAACAATCCAAGCGCAATAAACACTACAGCACATTCTAGTGGTTATTGTGCCAAGCGTGTCCTTAATAACCAAGAAGTTAAGGCAAACAAAAAGATTTGCCTTAATTAAATGACACCCACCTACTTGAAGGCAAACCATATGTAAACGTCTTCTTATCTGGACTCCACCAGCTTTCATTCCCTGCCTTCACAACTTCCCACAGAAAGCCGATGGCCTTATTTTTCGCTCTTAGCCAATGATTTATAGCTCTGCTCTGCAAGGCTTGGATCTCGAGCAAAAAGAAGTGGTGGAGGTTGGAGCACTGCTTGTTGCACTCTGGGTAAGAAGTCAAAAAGGTTTGACTACTTACAATTGAGGGCGTCATGGAACTCCTGGCACCATAACAACTACAGCACACTGTATTAGAGTTTTTACCTCTTATTGTAGAATCTACCTTCTAATTGTTGAACAAGATCTTGGCTATTTATATGACTTGCATCCCGAGCAAGGCTGTCTGCACGTAATCAAGAAGGATTCTAAAATCGAAAATTCTTAATTGCCTGCAGACATTGAATGTTCACAAATTTGTATTTATTTCTTTTCTTCTTTCATGCATAATCCAGATACCAAAGGACTAGTAATCAGGGAGCTATCTCTCAACATTCCCCGCTACTGCTAAAATACAGGTTCCACCCCATGGCAGCCTTATAATAGCCTCATTGTCTTCAGACAAGCACTGTGTAACTTTGCCTCTAGCCTCTGTGTGGTAACCAATTTACCTTAACATATGTCAAAAATTCACTACTTTGAAATCCTTTTGAGATTAAACTGAAAGAACCTGCACCTGCCTTCAAATATCTTATTCTTTATACTGTTTTTTTTTATTTTTTTTTTTTATTTTTTTTTACACTGCTCAAATCAAAATATCGCCCTTAAACTGGCCATAGAAACAACTACACACATTCTTGATTATTCCATATTCTAACATGTGCTCCAACTGTCCCGATTTTTGGCAGAACAGTCCCATTTTCCAGGTTTTATCTATATTAATTTTTAAAAAAAATTTCCTTCCCCTTGTGTCCCATTTTTGCAGACGCCAGGGAACCGTATCCAAAAAGTGTAACATGAGAGTGTCATTAGGCATACGATGCGTGTGCTGCAAGTAGTTCACTAGGACCCTGCTGATGGCACTGATACAGTGTAACCTGCAAGTTTTGCCCTCAGTGGGCTGACCTGCTTGATTCACAGGCGGCAGAGCCAATGACCTGGTCACTTCACAGGCATTCCCCCTTTACTTCACTCTGCCACCAATGACCCACTTCTCATGACACCAATATTTGTGTTATGTTATAATAAAAATGGTGAACTTTCTCCCAGATTAAAGAAGTTTTAAAATAAAATATGGCTTGATTCAAAAAATTAAAATCTAGTATCAAAAGCGACCTTGTTGTAAAATATTAGACTTGTGCAAATACAAGTTGAGCTGGGCGTCCAAATTTCTTTTAGTCCACACCTGAACTAATCAATCCTTCCGGTATTTTATCTGTGGAATCTTGTTCAATAACTCTGCATGTAAATCCTGGATAGATCGATTTAGTTCGCGTGTGGATTAAGAGGAATTTGTTTTGGACGAACGGACTCAAACTAATTGTTGCACAAGTCTAATTATTCTGTAATTACTCCATGTTTATACAAGTTTACAAGCGGTTATTTGCACTACAGCATATTATTTATTTCTAATTTTAAGAAACTCCAATATTTTCTGCATTGCTGGCACAATTATGTAATGGGATATGACAAAGATGGTAGGTATGTGGTGAAGGCCGACTTGCACAAATGCGATTACAGTCTAGGACAAAAAGTACCAGACCACCCTCCTATAAATAAATTGCAAAAATAGCATACCATAAAATAAATACTAAATATGCTAGGATTGTTTGTTTGTTTATTTCCCCACCCAGAATGTTGACACAGATCCTCTAAACCCAACATGACTTCAGGGCATAAGGAGGGTGGAAGAACAGGTAAATATAACAAGTTGCCCATGAAAGATGAGAGGCTGTTTGTTTGAAAGCTACCAAAAGTCACCAGTCAATCCTCTCATGATAGTGAATGTCTCAATGTACTACTGATAGAGGTTTCGAGATGTCAATCTGTCCTTTTTATGCTGGTAGAACAACTTTCTTCTTCTCTGTTCTTGGTTGATTGAGCTTAGAGATAAATTGCTTGTTTGTGAAGGACATGATTAACTATAGCAGGTTGACAATGGATACTACTGTAATATTACATTTGATTAGAATGTTGATGAGCCTCAAAGAATACAGCTTGATGCATATCTCTACTGGTTTTCCTTCAGTACAGACGCTATGATGACCTCTTTATTGCTGTCCAAACACTAAATTGCCCCTGAGCAAGCTCCTGCTCTGGATAGTAGGGAAACCAGCCCAACTGATCTGAGCAGACTGTCAGCAGCAGGTGTATCTGAAAATACCTGACCAACCTCCAGGCAGAGATGTACAACCTGCACAGGCCATTTGTAGCTATAGTGTTAATTTCACTGTAGGTCCTATTGTGTTTCCAAACTCCCTTCTACATTTAAATAGCAGTGCAGTTTGTCACTTACAAAATAAAAAAATTGATGAGGGGGATCGGCAGTCCTAATATTTAAACTAGGTACATGCTCACGGGGCCTCCTTGCAGTAACTGCCAACAGCTAACAAATAAGCCACAATTCTAAGTGAAGATATTTGTAGAATTTTTCTATTTTTTTTTTTACCATAGTGGACCGGCTATGTTTTGACCTTAGTTCAAGGCCTTTGTTGTGCCTTGTCCATTGTATTTCTGAGCAGTTTGTCAGGGTGACCCTGTAAATAGATGAATAAACACAACTGATACATCTACTAACTAATCTGAAAATGTTATTACGAAGGGAGCCAAATACAGAAATATTCCCAGTATGGCAGAATAAAAGAAACATTGTTCATGTTGAGGTTTTTCAATTTAATCTCTAATTTTTATTGCATGACTTTTCCCAGAATTCTTTTAAGAGACATAGGCTGTCGGAGAATTCAAGGTAGGCAACCTTTGGCCCTGATGCTTTGCCAGCATTATGTAAGAGCATTACAGGAGATTCAGGTGCCGTAGGGTTCCTACCCAGGTTTTTAAGGGACTCTTCGAAGATGCTACTTGGTAAAATAAAATTACAAAATTAAAGTGGGTACAGGTTCTGAAGCAGGTGGGGGAAGGAATAACAATTTGGCCCTGCATTAAGGTGTGCTTAGGTACTCTACACCTCCTGTTCACTCTCTATTAGTGATATTATAAAAGTATTTTTTTAAGAAACCATCTGCTCTTTCGAACAATGCATTATTTATTTAGATTACATATTTACCTACCATCAATTGCTGCTAATCTGGTCATGTTATATTATAACACTGAAATTTATTTTTTTGTTTGTTTTCATCATTTGAAAATAAATGTGAATGATTTTTTTAAAAGGCTGCAAACTCTCTAACTCAGCAAAACACATATTTTATACTAAACCTCTGTAAATCACAGTATTTCACATCTTTCTTGGTTTTACCCTTTTTAAGATGACATGATAGGCTTTGTTCTTATTTTCTGTTGCAAATTGGGTTAATTTCATGGTTGTAGGACAGGGAGTATGAGTTGTTGTAGCGCTACCAATGTGTAGCAGCTGAAATGCATTATGAGACTTGAAGTCTAGTAACTGGAGGGATACCTTTTTGAAGCACCCCTGATCTTGGACAAAATACATGTATATCACTGACAGTATGGACTGGGAGCTAACCAGTTAATTCAAGAGACCATTGTAAGAAAGCTGAAGCTTGTACAGTAAGTGGGATGGGAGTGGTCTGAAAATAAAGAATGAAAGGCCAGGAATGTTAATAATTTCCCTGAGGTTATCTTTAGATAGTTGGAGGGAAAGAAAAGACCATTATACTTTAACTCCTCACTGCTCGAAAAGGATCTCCAAATTCTGCAATAATGCACAGTTTGGCAGAAAAAAATCTACACTATGCTAACATTTGAAATCCTTGCGCCCAGGTGTATTGATCAATGTCGGTAATTTAAAATGCCTTACCTGTATGTAGGGTGTATCCATTAAACACCTGGTTGTAGTGAATTGAATTCATACTTTCAAAAATTTAACCAAAATTAGCTGATCGGTGGGGGGGGGGGGGAATCCATCTCTTGAATTGTAATTTCTTGGCTATTGTACCCTAAATGTTGCACTTTTAAGTTTGAATGGCTGAAACTAGATCGAGGAGATGCCCATTACTAGCTTATAAAATCAGGATTTGTGAACACACACACACTAATTTTAGAGTACCTGCTAGGTCTTTGGCTGGTTACGTGATGTACATAATGTATGAAAGCTTTTATTTTTCCAAGTATTATAACCAGTAGAGCCTGCTGCAGTGGTTATGGTGCCTCGAGTACCCTGACCCTATTGCCTGATAATGGGGCAAACACTTTTTGAGACGGTTTGCCCTGTTACCTGGGCCCCGCCATGCCCCCTCTGAGTGGGGTGATGTGCTTCTGCAGAGCTGCTGGAGTCGGCTGCTGATCATGCTGGTCATTCGCTGGCTGAGTGCATCAGCTGATCGCTCATAGCCAATGAATGACCCTCTGTGCATGGGATCTGGAACTAGTAATGCTGTTGGAGTTGGTTTATATTGTTGCCTGAATTGTATCTTTGTATGTGCAGTGTTACATTGTGAAACACTCACCGCACATACAAACTCCTAGCACCATGGCCACTTCAAAACACTGAGGTGGTTATGATACTTGGAGTAACCATATACATAATACAAATGCACAGCTCAGGCACTAGTTTTGTTGCTGTTCCGCCACTTATCTCAGACCGTGTTATTCAGTAAAATCCAAACTGCAGTGAACTGAAATCTTAATTTAATAATTTAAGTTTAAATAGACAATTCTCCAACTTGGTTCTAAACCGAGCTTGGATGTTTGCTGTCCACCTTTTGTCATTCAGATGCATTTCACTACAATTCCGCGTTTGGTTAATAAACTGAGAGAAATGCTGTATATACTGTCTACCCTCCCCCCCCCCTCCCCCCTCCCCCTAAGAGTTTCCAAGACACACTGAACAGGATACAATGTATGGAAAGGATTATTTTAGAAATATTGGGGGCACGTTGGGTTTTGCCAATATTTTGAGTCATTGAATGGTTATTAAAAATCTACACTTCCAGTTGATCTGGATTCTGTAATATGAGTCACAAGGGTATATAGTTTTAAACATATCAGGGAATGCTGTGGGAAGATTTTAAGTTGGATAACGGTTGGCACAGGATTTAGTCTGTGCCAGCAGTTAGACATCCGTACAGGTTTACACATGTGTAGAAATGTTATTACTCTGTGTATGTGATCTAACATAAGATTTTTCTTGTACTTCCAGTCCAAATGTTAGTTGCTCATCAATTAACAAAGCCTATAAAAAGTAGCAAAGTGATGTACTGCCTACAGTGAACATCAGAGAGCCACCATATTACCAAAAGGATTACTTCCTTTCAAATAATACAGATTATTGAACTGTGCACATAAACAATATACAGTTTTAATTTGTATAAGGCTACTTAAAAAAATCCCCTATCTTAGCACCCCATATTGTGTTAAGCCCACCCAGTGGCGTACACACAACCCATGGGGCCCCAGTGCGAAAACGTATCCGTGGGCCACCCCCCACGCTTACTCTGTGCGGGCCGGGGCCGCAACACATGGCGGCGGGCACCTGGTCCCCTGCGACCGCGGTATGTACGCCAGTGCATGCAGATACAGACACTTAAAGGACCACTACAAACACCTAGATCACATCAGCTCAATGAAGTGGTCTGGGTGCCAGGTCCTTCTAGTTTTAACCCTGTAGCTGAAAACATAGCAGTTTCAGAGAAACTGCTATGTTTCACTGAGGCTTAATCTAGCCTCTAGTGGCTGTATCATTGACAGCCGCTAGAGGAGCTTCCGTTATTCTCACTGTGAGAAGACGCTGAACGTCCATAGGAAAGCATTGAGTAATGCTTTCCTATGGGCGGTTTGAATTTGCGTGCTGCTCTTGCCGCGCATGCGCATTCGGAGCTGAGAGGAGGATCAGGGCAGAGGGATCCAGCGCTGGAGAAAGGTAAGTGCTGAAGACGCACACACGCATACACACCAGCTAACAGACACACACACACTCTCATGAACAGACGCATACACACTAGCTAACAGACACACACTCAGTGACAGACACATACATACACACACTCACTAACAGACACCAAACAGACTCACTAACAGATGCACACAAACTGACACAAAAACTAACACACACACACTCTAACAAGAACACACACACACACACACACACGTTTTTAAAAAATTTAATCCCCCAGCCTCCCTACCTTTTTGGGAGTGCTGAGGGGGGATTCCCTGGGGTCCAGTGGTGTGCGAGGGAGCACTCTCCCCTGAGCGCTCTCTGTTCAGCTCCCTTGCGCGCCACGTACTGATGCCGGAGCCGGAAGATGACGTCATCAGTGCGATGCGCGAGGGAGTTGAAGAGGGAGCACTCAGGGGAGAGTGCTCCCTCGCGCGCCCGCCAGCCTGCCCGCCGGGTGACACCAGGAACAGCCTCAGGGGGGCCCTGAGGTGGCCGGCTCCTGGGCCCCCCCAGGAGAAGAGGCTGGCCACACTGGGTACATGCCGGGCCCGGTCGCAGCCGCAACCCCGGTATGTATGCCACTGAGCCCACAACTACTTCCCAGTACCCCATTAACGGTGGATCCTACTCTATATGGTGTAACTGAATCCCAATATTTGTTTGCTATGATAGGTGATTTTAAATATCCTTGTAAAATGTAAAACTTGTATTATGATCCATATTTTGGTCTTTATGGCAGAACCACTACTTATTTCCAGTACAAGAAAAAAAGATTTTTGGTACCTGTACTGCGAGTACAGGTACCAAGGTCCCTGCTCTAAGGATCGAAAAGAAATTCAAAGAACTAAAGCTCCAGAACTCAGTAAAAACACACATTTCACCTAAACTCACCAAGTGCTGGAGCTTTATTTCTATGTATTATTTCCTGTTGCCATACCTACAGCAGAATCTGTATTAGTTTCTCTCTCCATTTCCACATGACTTTATTTACTTAAAGGACCACTATAGTGCCAGGAAAACATACTCGTTTTTCTGGCACTATAGTGCCCTAAGGGTGCCCCCACTCTCAGGGCCCCACTACCGCTGGGCTCTAGGGGGTGGAAGGGGTTAAATTTACCTCTTTCTCTTCTCTGAAATCTGGCACACTATTCTTCTCTGAAACTGCTATGTTTATAGAAGAAAGGGTTAATCCTAGGTGGACCTGGCACCCAGACCACCTCATTAAGCTGAAGTGGTCTGGGTGCCTATAGTGGTCCTTTAATACACAGCTGTACCCTCTGTTTGTGCTATGACCTGTAAGCCACAGCATCATGGGAAATGTAGTTCACATTATCTGGAATGCCATGCTTGATCAATGCAATGTCAGGTAAGATTGCATTTTATTAGTGACCGCATAATATCCCCAAGGCCGTAGGCAGGTTGCGGTTTGGGCCCCTCCTTTGTTCTTCATGGGGATGGTGAATTGGGCCAAGCAGGTTATTGGTTCCATTTCCTGCCCAACCCCTGGGCCCTAGTTGTTCTTCTAAGGTCACCTTATGGTTAATCCTGCTCTGATGAGCGTACATCCATAGGACAATGAGCCACGAGGGAAGGTTTAATGATGTCCTCTTCTGCTCTGAATGGGTTGAGTAGTTGACATCTTGAATTACTCCACTAACTGGTGGTTAGATAATGAGCTGCAAAACAGGTGTCACAATACTTGTCTGAAAGTGTATCTGTCTTCTTTACTTTGGCTAGCTGTCGACACACCACTTCTTGTTTACTAAATAAAACCCCCAAGAACATTTTAAACTACACTCCTGAAACGCCTTGAGGAGAAAGACCTTGGACCCCAAGCAGTAATTTTAATGGATTACTGGCACTGTACCGCATTTTCCTGGAAAAGCTGATTTTGTAAAACCGAAGAATCCTATTAAAGTTTTATTGAGGGAACTGATTTGTAGAGCAATTGATTTTTATCAGAAGAAAATCTTATAAATAACAGCTCTAGAAGAATCTAGAATAGATCATCCTGTACAGGACGAGTCGAGTACAGCTGAAACCCATAGGGCATTGTTTATTTCTGTGGACCTGTATACCTCAGTGTCTCTGTACACACAGATGTGTGCTTCTGTAGAAACACTCTGTACACAGACCAGTCTGCTGCAGTACATGCCTCTGCAGTCCAGATTTTTGAATCTATTAAATAGTGTGCCAGATTTGCATTGTACGATCAAATATATGAAAACAGACAGGCATGGGTCACACATTCAAAACCAAACTAAAAAATAAACCCAGCTATGTACCCCTGCCCAGTGGGCATAACATCACTGATGGGAGAGGGACAGAATTGATGGCAGGGAAGGGAATCCCTAGTGTGTGTGTGTGTGTGTGTGTGTGTGTGTGTATAATGTATATCTCCATCTCACTCATAACTAAAGTCTTACCATTTAGACTGTATCTCGTTCCCGTCTAATAATGGTTCTTCTTTACAAAAAATTTTATTTATTTTTTTAAACTGAATGGGTTAACTCCCTTTTATTGAACAGGGATTAAGAAGTAACCAGTTCTACAGTGAGCTCTGAAGCAAAGTTCCAAAAGTGTATTTCATATTCCAGTCATTTTGTGACAAGTGATGTTATGTGACTTTGGATTTATACCTTCCATGTGACTTGTGTTCTGGAAGAACCATAACCTACAAATCCCCAGAGTGCACCTTTCCTTGTCTAAAATATAGTTTGGCTGGACATTGTTCCGGGGTAATCACAGGTATACTAAGAGGTGTATGTATATATGAATGTGCATAATCTATGCTTTACTGTAGACCTTTAATTGCACACATCTCCCATAACCATTTGGTCACAATAGGTGGACATAATCGAAAGCACTATTTGTTGACCAAAAGCATTGTTCCGGAATACAATAGTTATTTTAACTAACACAACTTCCCACCATACACTTAAAGCAAAACTGTCACCATCTGAGGACTTTGTGACACTGCCACTGGGGTTCTGGTTTCGGGGGGTGGTGGAAAGGAGGGACTGACACTTCATGATGGGGGTAGCTCATCAAATAGTCCCTACTTTTGTCTTGTGTTTTTGGTTAGAAATAGAAGGAAAAAAAAAGCGAAAGAGATTGGGGGAAAAAGTTAAGTGTTGCTTTAACCTGACATTAAACAAGCAAACACTCTACTAATTAATGGTCTCTGATCAGTGTAGAATGGGCAGCAGATAAAAATAATTAATTACTTGCTTTGTAAACACATCCTCAATTGTATGTAACAAACACAAACTGTCCACTAGAATAGATGGATCCCAGTACGTTTTTGTTTATTTAGTGGAGTTCACTTAGACAGTTGGGGGGAGATTGTGGGGTTTATTAACAGAAAGGTGTATCTTGGCCAACTTGCTAAGATTGCATGCATTGTTTTATCTTCTTACTCTTAATGAATGCAAACTTTTAGTTCATCCTGTTTATGTACACATGCTGAGCGGAGTGTTCCATGTATATATTTGCTCTGCAAATAGGCTATTTCCTCAAAAAACAAAATCTGAATTGTGTCCCCTCCCCCTTCTCTCTTTTGTAAAGAAAGATCACTGTGACCTTGTTTATAGAAAAATATATATTCTAATATAAATAAGACAGAGGGTTCACTCATCCAAATCACGCATTGTTTTAATGTGATATACAAAAATGACACCTGTGCTATAATTTAACCGTGCTACAATCGATGTTTTGACCCCTTAAGGGAATGCTAAAGATCAGCAGATAAAATAAAAGTGTATAAACATATACAAAAATCTTAAAGAAACTCACCAATACGGTACACTTCCGGGTTCGTGTCGGTCTGATGACTGTCTTCACAGTATCAGTGAGTTTCTTTACTATTTTTATATATATTTATGCACTTGTATTTTATCTAAAGATCTTGAAAGACCCTTTAGGGGTCGAAACATTGATTGTAGCACAGATGTAAATTATGTATATCACATTAAACCATTGCGTGATTTGGGAGATCTATGAGTGCACCCTCTTCCTTATTTATCTATCTATCTACACACACACTGTATATTGCAGCATTTTATATAAATCTACTTATTTAAAAAAAAAAAAAAAAAAAAAAACACCAAACATTTTTATAGCAATGTGTTCGGCAGTTTTCGGAAGAGTGAGTCATGCTCAAAACATCCCAGGCTTCTGCCTACGGCCACTGCAAGATGCATAGAATCATGCTTGCTGTATTGTGTATATTTTAAAATGTATATAATTTTTTATTTTATTTTTTTAATGCATTTTTATACTGTCATTTAAAGGGGACTAGTACCCTTTTTATTTAATACTCTTTTACTCCCCCCAAGAAATTCCTTGTTGAAGCATTTTGTGAGGTACAGAAAAAAAGTAGAAACCTCTTAACTCTGTATCACTCTCGGGTGACCCTGCCACCATAGTCTTTAGATGTCCTAATATTTCCACGTGCATATAGAGGATCATGAAACCGTTGAAATACACTTTGGATTTCAGTGTTCCAGAGCAGCCTTGACTTTAAAGCTCATTGCAAAACAAAAAGGTTATTTTTGAAAAAAATGAAAGCACAATTAAGACCCAGTTTATATTTGCTATTCCGATATATCATTTTTCCACTTTATATGTTTTGGAGCAAGGCAATAAGAAGCCCCCTAACCAGGACACACTGACATTTTTGAATTTTACTCTAGATGTCCGTACCATTGCAAAACTACATTTTCTAAACATTAAATTGTGTGCTTCTACCATTGAATAGTTTTAATGTTCTTTTGATTGAAATATAGATGCATGTTTAATGGAACTTCAGTTTAGTAGGTAGGCAAAGATGGGAGGGCATTGTTTGCTATACAAAATGATCTCTACATACCGCAAACTTTTTTTTTTTCCTATATTGTGGAACAGAGAAACCAAAAATAACATCTTTAGCATTAAGCTGGATAACAAGTGAATACCCTAACAAAGCATCTTCTTAAAGTGATACCTGGGATACTCAGGCACCTTTTGTGATGCAGAGAGCAGGCGATGATTCCTGTAGAGTGAGCGAAAGTAATTTAAGCCTCTATTGTTCTCAAATGAACCCATTGAAGTACAGTATCTATCTAACATTCTGTATATCTGAGTGGCAAGCTCGTTCCTCGAGTCATTTTCTAACTAGTAATGCTCACTGCAGGTCACTCTTAACAGGTAAGCAAAGGATTTAATCTAAGGGGGAATTTATGGTGCAAATACTGTTTTTATATTGGGGAAAGATTTTACGATGCTTTTAAAAGTGTGTGTGTGTGTGTGTGTTTTTATTTGAGCATGTCCTTTTGTAGGCCTTTAAGTGTTATGTGACCTACAGTTAGAGATGTATACACTAAATGGGAAGATGATCTAAATTGACCAACAGATTCCAGAAAGCTAACCCGAACTAGTTTAGGTTAAAATGGTTTGGTTAATCTGGTCTAAACCACACTACGGTATTGTAACCTACTCAGAACTGACTGTTTAGTGAGTAATCCTTAGTGCAGATTAAAACAAGTTATGCATATTTTAGTTATCAGCAAAAGCACCTTGAGTATGGCTGTGCCTTTGACAAACATTCCTCTAATAAAGTCCGCTTCAGTTATTGGGTAATAAAATTGTATCCCGCTGCCGGCTCTGTATAGGAAGTGATTATAACAAAGTTGCTGGTGCATGTTAACCGGAATTTGGTAATTATCAAACGTATTTTATTTCATTCTTGCAGTCTAGATCTATGTATCCATGTGGTGCATACATTTCTAGACATGTACAGTGGTGCATGACGGTCCTATAGGAATATCAAATATAATGTATATGTATTATATGCATATCAAACCTAGGCATGTATGTGGATTTCAGATCATATTTTATGTTGACTGTAGGAAATACTGGATTAATTTATGCGTGTGTGTATATATAGTATAATCAAGAGAAATATATAAACCAATGCCATTATCCATTTTAGTTACCAAGATTGATTTGTCTGAGCATAATGCACGGAAATCTATGGGTTTTTAATTGTACATAACCTTTTTCTAGAGTAAAGATTGAGCACGTAATTACAAATCGAGAATTTGGGGCTAAAAAATAAGCCGGGTTGAGGTATTTTTACAATTTGGCTACATTGACCTAAATATGAAATTCCTTGGGCAGTTCCTGAAAATTCAAAAAATATAAATATTTTTATTTTTTTTTTAAACTCAGAATTTATTGTTTTGCTGTACCTGTGTGAATTCGTTTTGATTTTGTGGAGCCGAAAGCCTTGTGTCAGAAAGTTAAAATGACCAGTTTGAAACATTTGAACACTTGGATTTCACCGCTTCATGATCTTGGTTCTAGAGCTTAGTACAAAGCTTATGTCCGCAAATTCCATCTCTATCTTGGCTGGGCATATCTCCTCAGTACCCACTCACAAGCGGCTTGCCTTCATTTTCATACACTGGCAATTCACTTCTCACAGGAGCACGTCTTTTCCAATAAAACTGAATATGGGACTTAGGGTGGAACTTGTCAAGGAGCTGGGACCTATTCTGTTGTCTGGACCCAAATGGATAAGCCTGCCTTACACATGTAAACTTATAATACCAATGTTTACAAGCATTCTAGCTAATATCCTATTCCCTCTAATAATTTTTCTTTAAATCAGCCAGTGCTATCTTTGTGAATGTACACATTCTGTGTGTGTTATCTCCGTGAATGATCACATTCTGATAAGTGTGTTATTGTGTAATGCTGTCTTTGTGAATGATCACATTCTGAATAGTGTGTGTACACTCTCATTGGGAATGTTCATATTCTGTGTGTGTGTGTGTGTGTGTGTGTTAAACATAGCACTGTGATATACATATTGAAGTCACTTCCACAGAAAGCTATGATTAACTATGATTTAAAGGAAGTTTTTAGCCATTCCCTCCCACAAACCGTTTTCGTGATAGCCTGCTACCTAATTTAATTGAGCTGTACTTTACCATAAACTTATTGTAGCATGTATAATATAAATAACCATTTTAAAAAAAATTTTTTTTTCTTTTCACTTAATTTACTCATAAAATAGACTACAGTGACTCTCACTGTACCTTGGGATTTCCCTCTAACCAGTATATTTTCTGCTTTGTGTAAACTCGGGCAGGCAGGTTTGACAGGTCCAGCAACCACTCCCGTTATACCCGAAACCTGAGAGAGGAGGTTAGGGCTTGATAAAATTGATCTTTACTAGTGGCCATTCTTTTTTTTTTTTTTTTATATTCTTTATTTTGGTTGTGCAAAAATGATAGAATACAGGCAAGCTTATAATATGTCACATTAGCATAGGCAAGCTTCCATAAACACAAACAATGTATTATATGACATATGAGGAACATGCACATTTTTTTTATATCATGTGGTCAAACAAGCTTCAACATTCTATGTGAACAGGTAGGTAACAGATGAGACTTGCACATTTTTAGGATATGAGTATAAAGGAGGTGATCATGTCACTATGCATAGTGTAGGATATAAAACGTGTTTAAGGGCAGGTCGCACAAGCAATAACAAGATTGGTATAAACCGTTTTGTGGCCTTGGAGCTAAGTTACATGTCACGGTTCCACCAGTAGCATATAATACAGGTTGTAGGGTATCCATGTTAATCTATGAGACTCAAACAATAGTGGTAATATCTTGCTGCACCTGTTAGCTTATGAGAGATATAAATGTTAGCATAGATTTTTTTTTTTTTTTACGCCTATATCTGCATATATATGGTTTGTACTGACAGTAGCTAACAAGGCTTAGGGCCACTGGAATCAAGTTGCCTTTAAGGCAGTAACTAGAGCGAGTAGGTACAATAAAAGTAAAATGGCGGACATTAAAATAAGGCCTTAAAACAAGGGAACCGCTTTTTCTTGTAATGCCATTTGTGGCAGTTATCATAGATTTTGCCTGTTCGAAGGATGATCTAGGCTATATGTATTGCCAGCCTTAGTTTAGTGGACATTCTTAATCATTTAACAAGGGAATATGAAATGCATACCTTCCTTTTTTTTTCTTAATAACTGATTGAGACTTCTACATTATTTTTAATACGTACACCGGGTTATTTGAGACTATTGTCTTTTTACACATTTTTGTTCCTGATTATTTTGGCCATTTTCCCTTTCCTGGGCAGCATTGGAAGGCAAACAATCTATATATTTAGAGTGAAAACGTTGATGTAGGTAAGTACTTTTTAATGACTAGTGACTCAGCTTTCCGACTATCTCCGGAGTCTTTGCTTAGAGCTGGCAGAACATGAATATTCAAATCATTCTGCTCTTACTTTGTCAACATTGATTTCTTTACTCTAAAACTAATCTCTCTGTACTTCCTCTTTTTACCATTGAGAAAGCAGATTTTTGTATCCAACTCTGTGAAACGGTTCTAACTTTGCGGAAAGGCTTATAACTCTGCATATTGAAAGTGATTGTATAAAGTGTGTGTGGTTTGTATGTGTGTGTGTGTGTTGACATTTTGTTTCTTGTATGGAGTTCAATTTTATGCTTTGTTTGTCTGTCTTTAAGATTTATGTTGGTATTAAAAGATTTGTAGTAGAGGTTCCTTCCAACCATGTAGTGTCATGTAGGTGTGTGTGTGTGTGTTTTAATCGGTTAGCGTTTATTATTATTATTATTATTATTATATATATATATATATATTTTTTTTTTTTTATCGGTGTCTCCTTGACACAATATCTCATTAAAAATGGCTAATGGAAATGACATATAATAGTTCTATATAAAACGTCTATCGTGGTGTGTAGTTTTTGTGACAATATATCTGAATAAATAAATGTGTGAGAGTCTGGCCAATATACATTCAGAGAAAGACAATCTGTGTATACATATTCATGTAACAGAGGGTGGGTTTTATTATATATACTATATATGTGTATATGTAACCGGAATAAAAGAACATTCCAGTACAAACATTGTTTTGTTTCGCCTTAAAATAAACACAAGTGCTAGGTACATTTTTAGTATTTTTTTTTTTTTTTTTTTTAAAGAAACTAATCTTTTCACGTAATGGATAAAGTTAGAACACTTTTTCACAAATCTGCTGCTAAATTATGCAAATTAATTATCAATTTAACACTGTTCAATCTCTAGTTAATAATCGTGTAAATGTGTGTTATTCCCTGATGGGATTATTGAGTTTTACTAAATTGACCACTGATTTCTAAAATTTAGCAGATTTTGGGAAGTGTTCTACCTTTATCCATTACATGGCAAAGTTACAATTTCTTTCAAAAGTTACATAACTTTGGTGTTTATTTTAAGGCAAAACAAAACCATGTTTGTACTGGAAGGTTCTTATTCAGGATACCTATCCCAATTTGAAGGGACAAGAAGGCAAAATGCTGTAACATTAGCAATCCAGTGCTACCATTCAGAATTTGCTATAATCTGCACACAAAGGGCAAAGGTAACATGTACCGCACCTGTTTATAACAATAGTATATCTATCCTCTATCTGACAGATCTATCACTGCCCACCAATTTACTACTTTTGATTTTGCGTATAAAGTGATAGCATTTTAACCTTCTAATTGCAAAGTGTATTAGGGTGTGTCTCTGGTGTTTACAAAGTACAAAATGTCCCTTCCTACAGCCAAATTTCATGAGCGTGCGTATATATTTTACTCCACCAGTGAAGTGAAATCACCTCTAGTAGCTGTCCGTATGACTGCCGCTATAGGTTGACTGAACCCTGCAATGTAAGTACTGCGTTTTCTAAAAAAAAACATAAAAAAATATGCATTTACATTTAAGGGTTAAAACTAAAGGACTTCATTAAGATGAAGTGGCTGGAGTGACTTTAGTTGACCTTTAAAGGGACATTATAGTCATCAAAACAAGTTTAGCTTAATGAAGCAGTTTTGGTGTATGGATCATGTCTCTGCAGTCTCACTGTTCAACTTTCTGTCATTTAGGAGTTAAAGGGACACTCCGGGCACCCAGATCACTTCTGCCCATTGGAGTGGTCTGGGTGCCAACTCCCACTACCCTTAACCCTGCAACTGTAATTATTGCAGTTTTAATAAACTGCAATAATTACCTTGCAGGGTTAACTCCTCCTCTAGTGGCTGTCTACTTGACCGCCACTAGAGGGCACTTCCTGGTTTTGTGGACCTCCAGCGTCGCTAAAATCCCCATAGGAAAGCATTAAAAGGAATTTCAATGCTTTCCTATGTAGAGGTCTAATGCGGGATCAGTCTCCCGGCCGGTTGATGTGGTGACTGGGAGCAGCGTGGGCAGAGGAAGAAGCAGCGACGAGGGACATCGTCGCTGCCTCTGGTAAGTCACTGAAGGGGTTTTCACCCCTTCAGCAACCCGGGATGGGAGGTGGGAGGGAGAGGGGACCTGCAGTGCCAGGAAAACTGATTGTTTTCCTGGCACTGGAGAGTCCCTTTAAGTAACTTTGTTTACTCCATGTGTGTGACTTGCAAAGCCTTCCCAATTACTTCCTATAAAGAGAGAGATAATATTTATATACCTTTTTATTGCAAAAAAAGAATGTATTTCCTGCTCTGTTAATGGCATTTATAGATCTTGCAGGAACCTCTTGTATGTAACTGAAGTTCAATTTATAAAGCAAGAGATAAACATTTCTAAAATTAACATCTGATTGAAAATGTAATTTATTTTTTTTCTCATTAAGGCTGTCACAGCCAGCGTAGGTGTAGTTAGGGCTGTATGGACAGAAACAAAAGTGATTTAAAGGGAAACTATAGTCACCAGAACAACTACAGCTTATTGTATTTGTTCTGGTGAGTAGAATCATCATTCCCTTCAGCAGTGGCGTACACACAACCCATGGGGCCCCGGTGCGAAAACTGATCCGTGGGCCCTCCCCCCATGCGCGCTTAATCTGCGCGGGCTGGGGCCGCAACACATGGCGGCGGGCACCTGGTCGCAGGGCTGCGACCGCGGTATGTACGCCAGTGCATGCAGATACACATACACTTAAAGGACCACTACAGACCCCTAGATCACATCAGTTCAATGAAGTGGTCTGGGTGCCAGGTCCCTCTAGTTTTAACCCTGCAGCTGAAAACATAGCCGTTTCAGAGAAACGGCTATGTTTCACTGAGGGTTAATCCAACCTCTAGTGGCTGTCTCATTGACAGCCGCTAGAGGAGCTTCCGTGATTCTCACTGTGAAAATCACTGTGAGAAGACTCTAAACGTCCATAGGAAAGCATTGAGTAATGCTTTCCTATGGACGGTTAGAATGTGCGCATTCGGAGCTGAGAGGCGGATCGGGCGGAGAGATCCCCAGCGCCAAGGGAGTCCGGCGCTGGGGAAAGGTAAGTGCTTAAGTCACACACACGCGCGCGCTTACACACTAGCTAACAGACACACACTCAGTGACACATACAGACACACTTACAAAACACACACTAACAGATGCACACAAACTAACACACTCAGTAACACACTCACTGACACTCTAACACACACACACTAATACTAACACACTCTAACACACAAGTTTAAAAATAAAATAAAAAAATAAATGTAATCCCCCCCAGCCTCCTTACCTTTTGGAGAGCTGAGGGGATTCCCTGGGTTCTAGTGGTATCGGCGGGTGCGTGCGCGAGGGAGCACTCTCCCCTGAGTGCTTCCTCTTCAGCTCCCTCGCGCGCCGCGTAGGGATGCCGGCGTCGGAAGATGATGTCATCTTCCGCCTCCTTTATCAGTGCGGAGTGCAAGGCTCCTGGGCCCCCCAACAGAAGAGGCTGGCCACAGTGGCATACATACCGGGTCGCAGGGCAGCTGGGCCCCCTGGTGGGCCGGGTCCGGTCGCAGCCGCAACCCCGGTATGTACGCCACTGCCCTTCAGGTGTTTTGCTGTAAACAATCTTTACAGAGAAAATGCAGTGTTTACATTACAGACTAATGCTAATTCCATTGGCCACTCCTCAGATGGCTGCTAGGGGTGATTCCTCGGGCAGTCCTGCCTAGTATGCAGCACTGCCATTCAGTGCCTCCTCTCTCTGCATGCAGACACTGAACTTTCCTCATAGAGATGCATTGATTCAATTTATTTCTATGAGGAGATGCTGATTGACCAGGGCTGTGTTTGACTTGTGCTGGCTCTGTTCCTGGTCTACCTCCTTAACAGTTCAGCTCTGCTTCACTCCCACCGTATTTGATTGCTATTCCCTGTCCTATTGTGTTTTACACTCCACCTCCTATAGACTGTAAGCTCGTTTGAGCAGGGTCCTCGTCAACCTGTCGTTCCTGCAAGTTTCCTTGTAATTGTCCTATTTATAGTTAAATCCCCCCTCTCATAATATTGTAAAGTGCTACGGAATCTGTTGGCGCTATATAAATGGCAATGATGATGATAATAATGTCTCAGCCAATCCTATGGGGAAGCATTGTGATTGGCTCAGACCACCACTTCTGATGATGTCAGCAGACAGGGGCAGAGGAAGCAGCTGCAGACTTGAATATAAGTAAGATTTTACTATATTTAGGGAGGCAGGAGGTGGCTAGAGGGGCTAGATGTTGGTTTAAACACTGTAGGGTCAGCATTACATGTTCCTGACCCTATAGTGCAACTTTAATTTCTAAATGACAATGAGATTTCAGAGGTAAGATCTATACACAAAAACAGCTTCATTATGCTGAAGTTGTTTTTTCTAACTGTAGTGTCCCTCTAAGTTTCCAAGTTGAATATTTTACTTCAGTAAGTTATTGTGACTGCTACCTCTTGAATTACTTCCTCATAGGGATTCACAGTTTGAAACGAAATTTGTTAAATTGACATTTTTCACTTTTCGGTTCATACCAAATCGATAGTTCAACCAATGTTGGGGTAACTGAAAATGTATAATCCGAAGTAGATTAATTTCCTTGCACATGTCTAATAGGTGCACTAACCACTAAGCTCTTACACTCTCACTTGACTGGAAATAGTTCTGTTGCAGAACTATGACTTGTACCTGCATTCCTTGCATAGTTTAATTCAATCTCTGATTAACAATATACTCCCTAATTTAGATATTAACAAGGAAACATTTTAAGTGCCACCCAAACCTGTAATAATCCCTACATTCATAAATCAATTCTTCTCCTGTCTTCCACTTGTCAGTCGACCGGTTTTACACGTTTGTTAACAGACTTAACGTGCTTTATTTATTTATTTATTTGTTTGTTTGTTTGTTTGTTTTGGCTGGTTCCTTGTTCATTTTATATGTTAAGCATATTTACTGGGAAAGAAAAGTTGTTACAAGTACTTACTGAAAAGTGGAAAAACCGTATGAAGCATAGCAAGAAGGACAAACTAGGAAATGAAAAAGCTCATTGTAATGTTTAATATACTTTATTAAGTCTAAGTGACAGAAGTTATAACAACCCTAGCCTGCTTAAGTTGTTATGATGCCAGGTGCACCATGGCCTAGTTACCCCAGAATGGAGCAAACCATTTAGCAATGGTTTGCCCCCTTGCCCGGGTCCCACTGGGTATTGACGCTCCCTCGCGGTCTGGTGGCAAGCTTCTTGAGAGCCGCAGAAGCCAGGAGCTGTGCCACTCTGCCACGTACAGCCATTGACTGACATTTTGTAATTTGAAAGTTGCAAAAAAATCACATTAGTCAGCCCATAACTCTTGTTCCAGGTACTACTGGCTGGAAACACTCTGCCAAAGGTGGAGTTATGCCTCTGGCGGCAGAGGTGTTAAAATCTATGTGGTGTTTCATATCGAAACTCTGAATATACAGAGTCTAGGCACCATGACCACTTTGAGTAACCCTTTATAAAACCTAAACTAATCCTCCATTAGATGCTCACCGAGTCTCCACTCCTTCAAAAAATCGTTAAAAACCCACTTCTTCATAAAAGCGTATCAATTAAACTGTTAATAGCTCCTGACCGATTCCTCTTCTGCAACTGTCACTAGTCTAATACTATCCTTACCTTTTGTGTCACCCACTCCCTCTAGCATGTAAGCTCATTGAGCAGGGCCCTCAACCCCTCTGTTCCTGTGTCACTATACTCCACTCCCTCTAGCATGTAAGCTCATTGAGCAGGGCCCTCAACCTCTCTGTTCCTGTGTGTCCAACTTGTCTGGTTACAACTACATGTCTGTTCGTCCACCCATTGTAAAGCGCTGCGGAATTTGACGGCGCTCTATAAATATCATAAAATTAATAAAAATAAAAAAACTGTATATAATTTAAATATTTTTATTTTAGCGATGTACATTATATTTTATTTTTTTCCCTTTTTTTTTTATTTTTTTTTTACATTTTGTAAAAGTTTGTGTCCATAAAAATATTAACTGTGCATTGTATGATTTGTCAGGCTAGCTTAGCAGGTTCCTTTATGCCCATACTTAATGTTAACTTTACTTAATGAACAACATGGAACTATTTCCTAAGTTACAACGAACATGTGATGTAAACACATGGTTTCTGTTTGGCGTGGCTTCACAATGCACACCTCTAAAGATGCGTGCTACAACTAACACAATGTGAATGTGAGGATAAAAATAACTCTTCAGCATTTTTTGGTTCCTACTTTCCACGTAGTTGTGATTTCTGAGCTCTGACTCGCCTGTGCCTCTTTCAAGGTGGGAGAGCCACCTGGTCCCTGGATTTTAATCACTGATTGATTAGCCAACACTGTTGGATATGTATACATCACATTAGTGGGAGTTTACCTAATGTAGGTTGTGCTTTGGAAATACTTGGTATACTTTATAATTCACCTGTGTATCTGTGTTTGCAGTTTTTTTTCCATGAATAAGACTCCTGAGCTATTTAAAGCTCATTTTATGTTACAGAAAAGTTTAATTGGACATTGAGTTTATTACATTCCAAATTGGAATTGTTAACATAAATTGAAGTTAGTAACTTTAGAATAATGTCCCCAACAATTTACAGTTTTTGCTTTTTTTTTTTTCAAATACAGTATTTTTTTTAAATCAAATTAAGTATATAGGCCTTTTTATGGCAGACTATTTTAATCAGTGTATTGTAGATTCTCTATTGTTGAATACGGACAAATCATTTTGATTTCACAATTTTTTTTTTCTCTTCTCCTCCATAGGACCAATCAACGGTGATGAAGAGATACTAGCACCTGACTTCATTCCCTGAAACGGTCCCCGATCCGTATATTTCATTATGGAGTTAAAAGTCTGGGTGGATGGAGTGCAACGTGTGGTCTGTGGAGTAACAGAAAAAACCTCCTGCCAGGATGTGGTCATCGCACTTGCTCAGGCCATAGGTAAAAACTTTAGATTATTTAGTTGTTCTACCATCACTGTTAACAGTACCACTGGTTGCAAGTTGTTTTTGGACCAATACAGTTAACTCCCATGGTTCTTGGCGTGTTCCAAAGTGTTCTAAATGAAAAACTGATGGTTCTGTATCAACTTTTTGACAATTCCAACTGAAATTTATACAATCTAATTTATTGTAATGTCAAAATATCTTCTGTTTCAAAAAATTAATTGCTCTTTCAAGGATATCTAATATATACTTTAAACTCACACCCCCTTTCACTTTTTATAGTTTGTGTTTAAATAGCTAGTCAGGCATTATCTGTTCTGAGACTCAAGATGTTCACAATTATTTGACAAAGTTGTCCTATATTATTTCTTTCAGGTCAGACAGGGCGTTATATCTTAATCCAGACACTACGGGACAAAGAAAGGCAACTTCTACCTCATGAGAAACCTCTGGAGTTCTTGGCAAAGAGTGGACAGTATGCCAATGATGTCCACTTTATACTGAGACGCACAGGGCCCAGCTTGACTGAACGTCCTTCATCTGACACAGTTCCACACCCCCCTGAGAGAACTTATGCCAGGTCTAGCCTGCCCATAAATCCTCGGACAGAGGTTACAAGGTCAAAGGAGCCTAAAAAATCACTGACTTTTAATCTAGGGCCCATTGGATCCAGTGAACTTCTAAGCAAGCACAGGCAGAAACAGACTGGTACTACTGTTAAAGATGGTGCCCCACTCAGGCACCCAAGCAAAGAGGAACTGTTCAGAATGGTTTTACATCAACAGGATCAACTTAAGACATTGGAGATGCAAAATGTTTCTATGGGGAAGGACATACAAACTTGGGAAAGGGGCAGGGCTGGGGGTACTCAGGAGGAGGAAGAGGATGAAATGGCTTTCCTGGAGAGATTGATTCGCCGTAATGAGGCAGAGCTAGGTGAGGAGATGTTTTGGAAAGATGAATTACAGAGAGAAAGGGTGGAAGAACAACAGCGACAGGATAAAATGAAAAAGCTGAGAGTCACAATGGAAGACTACACAAAAAAAATCCAGGAGTTAAGTGATAGGACTGAGATGCTGGAACTGGAAATCCAAAAAGAGACTTCTAAAAGACTGTCCAGAGAGCCCAGCCAGGCTGAACTTGAGGAAATGGTGGTCAAAATGAGAAAGGAGTTGGAGTCCAAAACAGGGCTGGGACAGCAGCTGGAAAGCAACCTATCAAACGTGGAACGGGCTTGTGATGAGGCCAGGAAGAATCTTGAGGTAGGCCTATTGCTCACCTGCAGGAGGACCAGGCTCGGTTTAGAGATATAAATACAGACATATGAGAAAATAACTGCAGTCCATAAGAAAAATTGTGTTCTGAATTGAGCATTTTTTGCCATATATAGCATGACCACCTAGTTGCAGATCAGGATGAGATGCTTTACAATCCGATTACAGGTCAATGATTATTATGCCTTGATATTGTATACATTTATGCGCACACACACACAATGTGGCCAGAATGAAGCACTTGTAGGATAAGTCGTCTTCTGCCAGTACTTTATTTCATGCAGTAGAGCATGGGGTGCATTAAGATGCAGTCAACATTTTAGTTTAAAACCAGGAATCAGAGAAACGTTTTGGTGCTGACTGAGATGTTGATCTGATGTCTTAACATACTATGAGTTTGTATGAAATATATATGGCTGAAATAAGTATTTTGTCTGAGATGGCACCTTGGCTTTCAAGTAAGCAAACGTATGTACAAGATCATTGAGCGTTGTAAAGGTATGTGCGTTTTTATGGTGCAAGAATAAAAAAGTAATACACTTAATGGAGAGTAGAACCTCTTTGGTGTAAGCTGATCTGACGTCCAACTTGATTTTAAGCATGTTTCTCATAGTACCATTTATAATCAAATCAACATAAACTGGTCAAACATCAGCGTGCATGAGAAAGTAATGCATTTCCTCCAAAAACTGTCAGGAATACCATATTTAAACAAATTTAAAAAAAGTGTGTATGTGTGTGTGTGTGTGTATATGTATATGTATGTATGTATGTATGTATATATATATATATATATATATATATATATATATATATATATATATATATATTACACACACACTCTGCTGGTTTATTAAATGTGAGAATCAGTGTTATTTCATGCATTACCACAAGTATTTACTGTATAAAACATTACTATTTTTTTTTTAATAGAACCAATTATGTCATATGTATTTTCTATTTTATTTAGCCTTTTTAATGTGTATCTCTGTAATTATAGAATATTTGAATGTTGTCAAAATACTTTTTCCATATATATATATATTTTTTAAATAAAGATTATTTTCAAATTTAACCAAAGGGTTATATTTAGGTGTTATTGACAATATGAAAGCACTGTATGATTTCAGTGCTGTTCGCCCCACCATTATACTTTAAATAATCTCCTTTAGCATGACTGGAAATAATATGAATTCTGTAGCTTAGCAATGCAGGTCCATCTATTTTTCACACAATGGCTGCAGGTTGTTTTAGCAATTCTATATAATGTTGCATTGGGTAATGACTAACCTCGGCACTTGGCATGTTTATGGATGAAATTTACCATGATTGTGCTCGTGTAGCCTAGCATCATGAGAAATGTAGACCACATTATTATTAGTTTTTTCTTTCGTACTTAAATTCTTTGTCTTTCTAGTGCTGAGGCTAGGGAGATAGGCTTTTCTCTAGCTTTTAGTTTAAACACCCAGAACACTTTACTTTAATATGGTGGTCTGTATGAAGTGGCCATGTCGTTTTGTTCCTATATGTAAAACATTGCCAGTTTGGAGATATGTCTAGGTTTACACTACATGGCTTAACAGACCTCTAGTGGCTATATTCCTGACTGCCTTTAGTCTAGATGGACCTTACATTGTACGAACGAGTCAGACTTTGTTCTTTCACACCACCTCCTCTGATGCTTCTCATGTGAAGCATTTGATTGGAGAAGCACAGCACTTGCATTGCCTGTGCTTCTCTGTGAGAAAAGACAGAAGACCTCAACATGTTTTCTGATGAAATAAAGAGGCGGGACTAGCAGCTGCAAAGACTGTGTCTCTGCAATGGAAACAATGGAAGTAAAATATATATTATCCCTGCATTTTTAAAATTTATTTATTTTTAAAGAAAAGGGTGGGCACAGAGGTCACTGTTATGGCAGGGAACTGATAGACCTGAAAAAAAACATTACGTTTTTGAACTATAAATTCCCTTTAATCAATAAACATTTATTTTAAATGAAATTGAAAAAAGATATAACCATACACTTATCATTCTGATGCTTCATATAGTTTGTACTTTGATATTGTTTTTGCTGTTTAATAGATTTCTACGAGGAAAAAAAAATCTGTGGCGTCCTCTAGTGGATGCTTTACAAACTGTTAACCGTCACTAATGAGGAAATGAGAAAAGGTTTGTTTTCTCCTTCAGAGATCATTTGAACATTCTCCACTTTAGTGCATATTTTAAATATTTTTTTTATTTTGGTTTTGTTTCCTGCAACTTCATACAAAGGGAGTTTTTACATAAAATAGTTTTTTTGGTGTTTACTAATACTGTTTGAATGAAGGAAACTAACATTTCCTTAAGGTTTGACCAACTCTCTCCATTATATTCCCTCCAGCCTCTCATTTTGGAAGGAAATTTTACTTATCACAGCCTACTGGTTATCAATTATTTTGAAATGTTTGTATTTAGAAATAGCCTTTTTATTTTTTTTCTCTTGAATCATACAGAATTTGAATTGTTTTGATTTCTAATTCTGCCTACAGAGCAATTTCAATTGTTTTTATAATTGCAATAAAAGATCTATTGAAATCCCTTGTTTTTTTTAATTTTATTTCTGTCTACACAACATTCTTTCTGCATAACAAAACCACCAGAAAATATTTAATTGCATTTGACAATACATCCTACTAACCCTCTGACCCCTTTTATTACTCTGCAGTTTTGCAATAGCGTAGTGCCTTAGTGTTCCCTAAAACTCTTATAACCAATTTATTAATGAATCTACAATCATTCACTATCGGCAAATATCTCACTAGCCAAATATGTACGTCTCCCCCTCCCTCCCTCCCAGTGGTGCAGCCTAGCTGTAAGTTGACATGATTAACCTAAAATGGATGGTGGAGGGAAGCTTCTGAAGTTGTTGTAGTGTCAGGATCCAGTAAGCACACTTTAATTTCCTCTAGATTGTTGTGATTTGGCTGTTTGGATATATTAAAATTTATATTCTGTAATAAAAAGCAAATATTGGATTCTAATTTAGATATTTTCTTACTCTTTTTCAGAATTAGTTTACTTTGTGGGATACCCTTTTTGTATTGGATTTTATTTAAAGAAATCATTTCCAGTACAAACACTATAGAGCTTACTCAATACAGGGCCAGACTACAACAAACACTAAGCCTGGGAATTTAAAAGCAGAATAGCTCAATAGAAAGAGTGGGGCCAGAGGGGCATGCAAGGCGTTTGTGTGTGCGCGCGCACATGGGCTGTAGTGTGTGTTTGTGTGTGCGCTCGCAGGGGATGAATTTGTGTGTGTGTGTGTGTGCGCACATGGGCTGTAGTGTGTGTGTGTTTGTGTTTGTGTGTGGTGGGGTGAGTTTTGTTAATTTAATTAGATAAAAATTACCTTTAAAACATTTGTCCCCTCCCTCAAGTAAGCGAGGGGCGTGCCAATGCCTGGTGGTCCAGAAAGCTGGATGCAGGCAACTGGTACCACTCTTGCAAGCTCCCACACATAGTGTCATATCTGTGTCTTGAGCTTGGGAGAGAGATACATATAGTATGCATCCTGTGGAGGTGCATGCACCGGCTACCTAGCTTCCATCCACACCCAACATTAGCGTTCATAGGGCTGGTGAGAGACATCTTTGAAGTCCCCATGGGCAGGTCAGGGAATACTTTTTTTCTCATCTGATGGCCTCGGCCTTTGGTCATCAAGGCCCACTGGGCATTTGCCGATTGCAAGTCCAGGCTTGCGTTCACAAGAGGAACAACACTCTGCTTGTTGTAAGACCAGTTTTGAGAGAGATTCACGCTTCACCCCGGAGGGAGCAGGCGAGCACTGGCTATCTTTGGCCTGGTAGGAACTGCAAACAAAGTCCATTTTTACACCAAACAAGCAAATTATTCCACCACACTATTCTCTTAAAGTAAGACTTCAACCACCATAAACACTACAGGAGATCTTTGGTGTTATTGTGCCAAGAGTGCCCTGGTGCCCTCCCCTATGTAAGTAGCCAAATCGTTTTACTAATGGTCTGACAACTTACCTGGTGTCAATAGGTCACTTCCTGCTCAGAGCTAGCTCTCCTGAGCTAAGCCGTACTTGAGACTCTGTTGACCACTCGAAGAGTTAAGTTCTTCATTGCCAGGTTTTGCTCAATGCCAAGAGCTACCACCCTTCCTCTCCATTGTCATCCCTCCCATGGATCACAGCCACCCTTGACACTAGTCAGTCTTTCACTGAATAGGAAAGAGCCCCACTCTAGTATCAGATACCCAATTTCTGATTCTATACTAAAATGCCTAGAGTGTTGTCTTGTTTACTTTAGTAAGCTTTATCTGAATAGCTGAGCTATGCTCCCTTTCCAGGGATTTTAAACCCTGAGCAGTGGTTTGCACAAACACACGTCTAAGATGAATCACTCAATTGTGAAAGATTCATGCATTCTTACTGCTCAAATACTTCCAACTTGTCCATACAAGGAATGCAACGGGTGACTGAATAAACCCAAGCAATCATGCATTTATTTGCAATCCCTATAACATTAGGGGCTATGATTAACCTGTCGGAGGGAGCAAAGTGATTTGTGGATCTCAGAGATGTAAATAAGTGCGTGCGTGCGAGTATACTTTGAGTGCTTCTATCTTCACTGATTTAAGGATTCACCACAACTGTATACATGAGATGACATATGGGTATATGTATGTTTTTATGACTTTGAGATCTTTACGATATCATTTCCCATCACAGGCCAAGAATCATGAGCTTGAGGAACTGAATAAGGATATCAGACAATGTAACTTGCAGCAGTTCATCCTCCAAACAGGATCTACATTGACTAATGGCCAACTAAGACCTGACGAAGACCCTCTGTCTGAGAGTAGTGATGCATACTGGGAAGGACACTACTCCAGTACAGGTATGAATAGAGAGTTACAGACTGGCTACGGTATAGTCATAAACAGTCCACGAAGTTGACAGATTTTCCTTGTTTGGGTAGCTTCTGGATGGATGGTGTTAAATTGGTGTCCCTGGCTCTACAAAAATATATTCCAGATGATCATTGTCTGCTTTCATTGTAAAAATTCAGTGATTTTATTCATTTTACACTTACTGCTTGTGAATTCAAAAGGCAGTCCTGGGAAAATCTGGTATCCTTGACTCGAAGCACCTATAAATAGGACTACCTTTTCCACCATGTTTTCAGTGACACATAATATTGTCATAGTAAAGAAAAAAACATGAAAAAGATTACCCAGCAGTATGTATAATGCATGTTTGGCAGGATTCTTATACACCTTCTTAATTCTAAATACTGCAAGGCAACCCTTTACATGTGCCCATCAATATGTATACATGATATTTGTCCTAGAAAACATGGTGGATATGGTCACTCTACCTATAATCCCTTCTTAAAGGTCCACTATAGTGCCAGGAAAACATACTCGTTTTCCTGGCACTATAGTGCATTGAGGGTGCCCCCAGCCTCAGGGACCCCCTTCTGCCCGGCTCTGGGGAGAGGAAAGGGGTAAAACCTAATTTTTTTTTTCCAGCGCCGGGCGGGGAGCTCTCCTCCTCCGATCCTCCCATTCGGCTGAATGCGCACGCGCGGCAAGAGCTGCGCGCGCATTCAGCCGGTCTCATAGTGTGTAACTATTTTTATCAGTTGACTATGTTGCCATTTATTTCGGTTCTTTTTATTTCTACAATCAAACACACTGAATACCTTCATATTCATATTTGTTTTACAAGCTATGGTTCCTGATGCCATGGAGGATTTTACACTCTTAAGGAATTTTTTTTTTTTCCTTTTTCTTTTTACACATTGGAGTTTTTAACTAAAGTGAAAGTGTGAAGAATTGACCAATTTTATATTTGTATTTTTACAGTAAGTGTGCATTGTCTAGAATTGCACATTTTAGGCGGAAATATCTAAACCTAGAAAATTCTTTAGCTCGGTTATTCTTGCAGCTGAGATATTTTGTCATTCAATTTTAAAGTGCCCTGGTTAGTTTTACAGTTTTTTGTAAATAATGGTTAGCATAACTGGTGATTTGTCATATAATGGAGTATTATAATGGAAGAGGAGTCAATTTGTCCTCTCGTCCTATGGGAGGATAATAATTATAAATACCTAGTACTAATTATAATAATTATTTAGTGCCAACTGAATGGGGGGAGGTCTAACAATAAATTAGACATTTACAAAATTATACCGGAACAAAAAGTAGATGTAAATCCTGCTCAAACGAGCTTACAGTCTAGAGTTAATGAAACAAGTGCCAGATCTTCTGGCTAAGATTAATATTGTGTGCCTTACTATAGAGCACTTTTATGCTTTCCCCCAAGAAGAGGTTTATTATGTTAAATGGTTTATGGATCGATTATGGCCTGTATACAATTTTAGCCCGGTGTTACTGCACATGATATCACAAGACATTCCTACTTATTCTGCTTTCTAGGACCTTATGACTCCTCTCCACGGACTGCAGCCAAACATCTACTGGGTAATCCTCGAAATTTACAGAACCCCCTGCTAGCAGGCCTAAACCCCGAGGGTGTGTATGTGTGAGGCGTACATACTCCATACACTGCTTCTTCTTCTCTTGGTGGTGGGTCTTCTTTAAGCATGTTAACCCCTGTACCTTTCTTTCAAACACAGCCTCAAAATGAACAACCTTTAACATTAGTTGAAAGGGTCTCTGATCTCAAGTAATGCCAATGTTCTTTGTAGGATTTACTGCATGTACTTCATAGTTTCTCAGAATAATTTTATTTAGTTTGTTGTCTGACATACCAATCATAATATATATATATATATATATATATATATATATATATATATATATATCTCAACATTTTTTTATATACAGGATTATGTCCTGCTTTAAATTCCCTTCAACCAAACTGATGTTTTGGTAACTTTAGTTTCATATAATATATCTGTACATATGTTCATTGTTTGACATTTTGAGGCTATGTGTTGATGTATATACATCTTCTTTCTATAATTGCTATTAATTATTGCTCAACACTGATGGTATTTGGTTATCCCCATTATGATTTAGGAGATTTAGCAAACTGCATATTTTTCAAATAGTGATTTTTTTTTTTTTACATTTTTTTTTTTTTAATGCACCTGTAAAAAAAATTTACTTTAATTGTGTAGAATATGGTACAAAAAACACTCCTGTCTCTCTCTGCCTGTTCATTAAATGCTTTGCTAAAATTGCTGCAGTTTTATGACCGCCCTCCCAACTATAATCATAGGGGAACATGACAGGTGCATTGTCGCCATATGGGCTGGAGGAGCTGACCTTTACCTTTTTCCCAACCCACACTGACGCTTTAGGGTATGGGTCAATATGTCCACAGCTTTTATTTATAATATATAATAATAACGATAATATATAAATAACATAAAAGTCATTGCCCACCCCCACATCCTCAGCCATCCAACTTTATCACTTTTCCACATATCAATTCGTGAGGCAATGACCCATCATATATAACATAACATAATATTGTATAACAATCCATAAGTATAACAAAACAAGATCCAACATTTTCCACACGATCCTGGCAGGGGTATACCTTGATACCCCTACACCACCTGGGTTCTGAGCGACCAACGAGCTTGAAACCACTAACATCTTATCAACAGGTAAACAGTCCATATTGAAACAGAAAACTCACTACTCTTGCTCTACGCTTCCTTAATCAGGCCTGTTACCCCCTTAACTTTCCTTCCACTAGCCCGCCGCTGTGACCAAGCGGGTAGAATAAAACCCAACACTAAAGGGAGGGAGGGACCAATTCAGCCTGGTAACTCATTAGTAATGAGGTGTTATAAAATGGCCGACATTTATATCCGCCTACCCAGAATCCTGATCTGTCAATCACGAACCCCTGCTCCATCTAAGCCCGCCTCCAAGCCCTGTCAAGGCCCCCTCTGCTAAGCTGTGCTTTCTTCTTGGGGCTACAGTCTAATTACAAACAAGGATCTTGTATGGTTTTCACATGACTTAGAACTCTTAAGCCCCAAGACCACTTCATCTCTTTGAAGTGGTCTGGGTGCACTGTCCCTGTCCCCTTAACCCTGCAATGTAAAACATTGCCATTTTAGAGAAACTGCTGTGCTTATATTACAGGGTTAAGGCTGCCTCTACTGACGGTGTACCAGGCAATCACTAGAGTCACTTCCTGCTGTTTCATGGTGTCCTTGCACTATGCATGAAGACATTGGTGTTCCTCCTACTGTGCATGAAGATGCCCAGCATCTTCTAACTCTCCATAGGAAAGCTTTGATTCAGTGCTTTCCTATGGGGGAAGGCCTAATGCCAAGGGAGAAGGAGACACCGTCCTGTGCCAATCAGCATCTCATCATAGACATGCGTTGAATCAATGCTTCTCTATGAGGAGCATTCACAATGGGCAGCACTGACCCGGAAAGCACATCTAGAGGCCATCTGAGTTACTGCCACTAGATGTGTTCCTGCGCAGTGTTCACATTAAAAAGCCTGCAGGGACAGGCAGTAGACATCAGAACAACTACATTTATCTGTAGTTGTTCTTGTGACTATAGTGGCCCTTTAGCTGCTTGTGTTTTTATTTGTTTTTAATTAAAGTAGTGGGGTAGGGGATGTAGTGGTTGCAGGGGCTGTAATGAGTGCAATGGGTATAGGGGCTCTAGAGGGTGCCTGGGTTGTAATAGGAGTTGTATTAAGAGCAGGGGTATAGCAAGTGTAGGGGATTATAGGGCCTTTTTTTGTTAAGGGGGTTGGAGAGAGATAGGAGCTGTGAAGGGGCAGTGTGGGGGGCAGGGAGGAGAGGGAATTGGACACTGTTTAATTTTAAAAAAAAAACATATTTGTATTTTTGCTGTGCATAAAAAATCAAAACATACAATTTCGAGGTACCCCAACGGCAGTCCTTGAAACAAGCATCACATGGTACACTTGGGGTATCAAGTTAGACATGTACAGTTTTATGATATTAGGGATAAACATGAGTATAACAATTATGCTAAGCCTATTAAGAGAAGGAGCATATATGCAACTTGCAATAGTATTTAAGCTTGGGTTAGGGAAGGCGTTATCGTGAGTGTGTACTCTGTGTTAGGCATAAACAAGTGTGATATACACAGGCGGAATATGTGTGGTCATGAACTATATTGCTATAGCTTAGCCGATGAGACAATACTACAATACGGTTGAGGCCAACATGTTTTACCGCTATCTACCCCTGATGTATGCAGGTATGTCTCATCTCCAAATATTACGTGTATTTTTGGTAGGGTATAAGGGTAGAGCATGGCGGTATTATTAGCAGTGGGTTGTAAGCAGTCACAGATAGAGGCAATAGGAGGTATGAGGGATGGGGCGGATTTCTTATCTGTGGTGGTAAGTGTCCCGGTCAGCCAACTCCTGCCTGTGGTATGTTACAGTCCCGTTTAGGAGCCTCTGCCGCTTTTCCACTGCTTGGGTACAGGCCTGGTAGGTGAGCTCAATCAGGCAATTTGAAGCAGCAGTGTTGCTCTCCTCCTGTTGTGGGCCAGGCATCTTGCTTGCGTGCACTCGGTGGTCGTAGTAGACCCCCGGTCCTCTTATCTGGCACCCCCTGTCCGGGTGTTGGTACTTGCTGGGGGTCATATGGCGTTGTGGTGGTGGGTGGTCCCCTCTGCCCCGGGACTGTGTTGGAGCTAGAGCCCTCTTGCCACTGACCTGGGATCCGTTGGGGCCCTTGGTCGTCCCTTTCGGGAAGTGGCGGTGAGTTGCGTAACGTGGCATCTTTCCGCCGGTGTGGTCGACATTTGCGGGGCATGCCCCTGGTTGCTCCCAGTCCGGGAGGGCCTCTTTTGTGGGAGGTCGCTTTTTTTTGTTTTCTTTGTGCCCTGAGGTGGAGGCCCTGGTCTCCTCCCGTCATAGACTTTTGTCTGTGAGGGTGGCGTGGGATGGACTGTCGCTGCTTGCAGTTGCTTCATCCACTTGCCCCAGAAGCGGTCGAATAGTGCATTGATGGGGTCACCAGCAGAGTCGTAGGTGCCTGGGGTGGGATCTGGTCGTTGTTGGTCTTGATTTTTCTGGCTCTATCAGTGCCGCCATCTTGGAGGCCCTTACCACCGCGTTGCTTGAAAGGCTGGCGGGAACCGACGTTTGGTGTGGTGTGTGGGGTCTCCCTTCTGACAGGGAACGGGATAACCCCCACCGGTCCATGGGGGGTGGGGGGAGCGGTTTTCGTGTGCTTGAGGGCCTTTGAGTCGGGCGGGAAGGCGGCAGTCCTTCCCCCCTCACCTCCTCCGGTAGGCCCACGCCAGCCGTAGCGGTTCCTGGGCACGCCGGGTGTTGATATAGGTATCGGTGTGTGCACAAGCGTTATGTCAGTCCGATAGTCTTGGTTATTCGCCACTCTTGTCGTTGTGTCTCGATTTTTCAATGAGTTTGAGTCCATATGGCTGGAGCCCATGTGAAGAGCGACCAGCCAGCTTGCTTGCTTGGCTCCGCCCCCACTATGTTTAATTTTAATGAAAACAAGGAAGGGGAAATGTTTACAAAAAAAAAATTATTCCCTCTTCCTGACTCTTACCTTTGGCCAAGGAGGGTGGGATTTTTATTCTTGGAGTGGATGCTGGACATGCTTCCTGTAACACTATCAGGGCAGTTCAGCAGGCATAATGTTACTTTGTGCAGAATCCGCCACAAGGTGCTACCCTGATCAGTATAACGGCCTGTAAACTCAGTGTGTCTGTCCTTATCTGCTGGCAGAGGCTCTGCTCCTGGAGCCTCTGCCGAGTTCCTTCAGCCACAAAGACAGGCACACTGAAGGGTGGCCTAGTGGGGTCTTTGGGAAGGTCCCTTAGCTGTCCCTCAGTGTGACCTGCATGGGGGAGAAGATTTGTAGCAGCAGGGGCCTGCGGAGGGCTGCACAGGCCCCTTGCTGAGTGCAGGCAGGCTAGGGAGATTGTTTAACTTCCCAGCTCAGCCATTACTGCACTGCAGCAGGGGCGGGTCCATGACAGATTTATTTATTTATTTATAAAATATTTTACCAGCACGAGTGCTCAGTCTGCCCCTGAGTGGGGCAGATGAATACTTTAGTAGCTGTATTCCAAACACTTAATGTTCCTTTAAGTGGCTTCCTGATACCTTTATTCTCCGAGAGGACTTGTACAGCAGCAATGACTACGCTGCATTTATTTTTGTTGTTGTTTTTTAAAAGAAACTTAATTGAAGTCTTAAATGCAATCTAATAACCAAGCGGAAGAAAAAAATCATCTCTCACCTCTTTGAAAACTCCTGCTCGGAGTGCTGGTACAGACCCTAAATATTTGTGGCTTATTTTTCACAAGATCAAAAATGTAAATGCAAGTTAGGGACAACCGATGGGTTTCCGTAAAAATAGCTTTTATTGCATGACCAAAAATCTTTTAATTTTGTCCTGTTCGGCCACAGATTTGGAGGTTTGTAAATTATCCCTAAAATACTTTAAATATTTGCTGCTTCAACATTTAAATTTTGTTTCTTGGATTAGACACTCCTGGTAGGAGATGGAGTTGCGTCTTTCACTGCCAGCAGTTGCTGAAGGTCTCAGAAGCTGGAAAGTTTCTAAACCATCAGAGCTGGTTTGGAATGTAACCTTTTTTGTTTTTTGAAATATTTCAATATTTTTTTTTTTTTTTTTACGTGTTTGTGTTTACAGTGCGTATAGAACGGTCATCGTAGCAATTAATGGAAACATCCGGGCACCATGACCGCTTTATCTCAATGAAGTTGTTATGGTGCCTGGAAATCCTGGGTGCTGTATTATCTTAAAGGGTTTACAATTTACAAATGGTTTATCCGCAAATTTTGTGAAATCAGTGCCAATACTGTGGAGTCCAATGCTTCAATGGAGAAGCCTCAGACTAATGACACTTTTAATTTAAAAAAATAAACTATATATTGACGCACTGGCGTACATACCAGGATCATACCACGGATCAATTTTCGCACCGGGGCCCCATGGGTCATGTGTACGCCACTGTATTGACGAAATAGGTATATTAATGCAACACATATACGAACCACATTGTACATTAACAAAGCATTCATATAGATGAGGTGTTGAGCTCCACAGTTTAACTGTAACAAAGGATTAATAGGACTCTACTAGCATAGCAATGAAATCCCTTGTTATATCAATAGTAAATTTGTGTGAAATTAACATGAGATAAGTATTACAGTCTCAGCAAAATATGGGTTTAATTTTAGGGCAATCAGTGGTCATCCTACAAGATGTTGAAGATACCAGCTGGCCAAAGTGACCAGCTGTAAAATTTTAATATAAACACAGTAACCTAGATTTAATACATTCTAGTTAAGAGAGAACAAAGTGGTAAATGCCTGGCGTCTGTATATGCAGCATTTGGCTTTGAAACGCTGCACATACACCTCCAGCATATATGGGGTTCATCTTTGTAATGCCACCTCCAGTGGAATCATGAGCCAGCCCAGAACAAAGTTCCATCTGGCTAATGTCAATTTTGTACAAAGCTGGCATATGACACCAGCATGCAGGGCATGCCCTTCACCTCTCCATCCTCCCTGACCTCCCTTCCTATCTGGTGAGGGAGAGTGATGTCAGCCAAGGAGGATCGGGCTGAGTGGAGAACGATGTTTGACACAACGATGGAGCATAGGTAAGGGATATTTGATTAATTTATTAAGTTGGGGGGTGTCCACCTCAGAAAAGGTTACTCCAACCAAAACTAGTGTTTTCTGAAAACCGTGTTTTGGTTTTTTTTGTTTGTTTTTTTTTTTAGATGTCATAACACTTTAAGATGATGTTTGTAATTCAAACTAATGCTTTAGTAAGGTATGCAAATGAGTTTTATTTATATATATATATATATTTTTTTTTTTTATATATAATATATATATATATATATATATATATATATATATATATATATAGTAAAAATTTTTTTTTGTGTGTGTGTGTCTTGTTGAACGTAGTATGACCAACACTTGTTTATATTTTTCTAGTTATCTCTTCCCGAGACACATCATGGACCTAAAGAACAGAATCTAGATGTTTTTGACCAAACGGACCCCTGAAGAAATGCAACTCTATTGTTTACTTTGCAACTGTATATGAACTTACAACCGTTTTATGACAAAGTATATATTATAAAATATGTATATAAATAGAATTGTTTTATATATTGTTTTGTACACAGAATGTATGAACTTTTTATATATATATGTGTGTGTGTATATATAAAAAAAATGTAATCTCCCACATTTGAATTGAATGTATCACTCTGGTTCTCCGTCCACAGCTATGCAGTTCTAAATAATAAATATTTACCCTCATTTAACAAAGTAAACTAGTCTTGAAAGTCCTTTCTAGTAATCATACAAGCATATTTTACTCACCTTGAATCCAGCTTGGCGAAGCTCCCGGGCACTGACTTTTGCTCCACCTTTTACGTCACACTGGCCTTGTACTGTTCAGTCACAGTTCTGGCCTGCCGATGTCATGTTCCCTGCGGGTGCAACTAGCCCCCAGCACAGATTTAAACATGTCTACGTATGTGCAGTGTTTCTAGCACAAACACTGTACACACAAACTCTTCCCATCATGACCACTTCAAATCACTGATGTGATCATGGTGGTTGAAGGAACCCTTTACTATTCTTCTCGAAGAAGACCGTAAAGTAGGTGAATTTGTTTTACATCTTAAATACACGTTGATTCTCCAAATCACAAAAATTGCAGTATTTTATTTATTTATTTATTTTGCTACAAGGCAGTTTTTGGAAATGGGCAATCAAAATTAAGCCATATGTGACAGATTTAGGGCTGGGTCTGTAGTTGTGGGGCATGGGGCTTAGGTCCTCCAATCCTTTCACATACCGTTATTGGTCTGGCGAGTCAAGTGTGACTACTTCCGGTCACTCACAAGTCGCCATCTTGCGGTTTACCTGTGTCCTCATAGTTCTGGTTCAGTCAGTCTGGTTCTGCTTACCTGACCACTCACTGACCGTTTCCTCCTCCAGCTTGCTCGGACTAAACCGGAAGTACTCATTTGAACCGTAAGTTAGGCCCAAACCGGCGTGCCTCAGTTGCTTTAGTTGTCTCGGTTTAGATCTATTTCAATACTTACCAATTTGTATGGTTTCACACGTGTTCGCCAGTTTTCGCATAGAAACACATGTACGCATTACTCAGTTTGTCTAGTAGGGGCTTTCGGTTCATTCAAACCCTTGAACAGGGACCCTCATTTGGCTCCATTTGCAAAGGCTAGCTGATGCATACTTGTGTTAAGCGTTCATATGAAATTCATACAAACGGACTATTTGATATGTACTGGAAAGGCACGGACACCTGTTTAAAGCATGGGATGTTCGCACGACTCCTCCCAATTATCTAAATCCAGCAACTACACGAATAGATAGGAACTGAATGTATATTTGACTTATTTTGGGTTGAGGTGCCCTCTACTGGTTATGGACGATGTTACAGTTTTAATTTAAAGTTTGCATATTGTAATTTGTGGATAAGAGGGGAAGTTTATTTTAAAATTTATACTAAAACCTGCTATTTGGTTAACATCTAGATGTCTTGTTAATGTTCTACCCGCAGGTTCGGTTCAGAACTGTTATTCAGGGGTATTGTTCCTGTTTGGTATTGCTCCTGTCATTTTAAGATGGCCATATCTCGCCAGCCTGTTTCAAATCACGAGGTGTTCATCAATGCCAAATTGCACTTTGTCTAGCAATCTGGGTAGGTTACTCCACAACTGACTGTTATGAACTATGATGTTTATTACTAATTATGTGTTATCTAACCATTATGGCAATATTGCCCCAACCACAAATTTAAGGCTGGACCTGTAGTTGTGGACCCGTAGTTGTGGGGCTTGGGTCCCTTTTTAAGGGACTCCAATCCTCTCACATACAGTTATTGGACTGGCAAGTTACCCCTCCCACCACTCCCTCTTTTCATATCACTCTCTAAAATGGGTCCTCTTTATTACAGGCCTACTTCACTGTCTGTTCCAGCACACCACAACCGACTGGTGTTTTTAACTACGATGTTTATTCAGAGCCGGCGCTTCCTCTAGGCGACTTAGGCAGTTCCCTGGGGCATACCGGCCTGGGGGTTGCCATATTTGAGTGACCTGTAGGAGGGAAGCGCACAGCGCCCACTCCTACCTGTCACTCAGTGTAGCGTGGCCGGGCGGCACGGACAGCGGTACAGGAGCTTCAGTTTCCTGTACCCGGTCGGACTGACAAGAAGTGCTCACTGAGAGAGCACTTCCTTTCAGTCCGGCCGGGTACAGGAAACTGAAGCTCCTGTACCGCTGTCCGCGCCGCCCGCCCACGCTACACAGGGAGGTAGGAGTCCCAACAGGGAGGGTGTTAGCAACAAGGTGAGAGGAAGAGCGTATCATTGAAGGGGGAGTAACACTTCGCAGAACAAAATCCTCCCTATTCCAGATTTAGCAGCATAACTAACTAACCAAACTCAACGCTGAGAAAACAAAATACTTTCTGAGCAAAATGAGAACCAATAATTATCATAATAGCTGCAAACCTTCTAAATACCTTGCCTCAAGACTTCGTAACAAATATTCCAGTATTAAAATTGCCCATATCATGGGTGAGGACGGTTTCAAAAAAGTAACTCTCAATGACATTAGCCAAGAATTTATATAATCTAAAGACCAATGGGAATATTTACAACTCTAGCGATGATTAAATTAGCTTCTATTTACAGACTATAAAATTTCCCCAGATTACTTAAACACAGGCTGGGGAGCTGATAGAGCCTATTAGACTTAAAGAAGTGTTAGACGCTATAGCGGGCTTACCAATGGGTAAAACGCCAGGGGCAGATGGACTGCCAAATTCCTATTCTAAAAAATAGGCAAGGGAACTAGCTCCCCATTTATTGAAAATATACTATGAAGCCACGGCCACTGGGTCTTTACCATCCAAAATATTACTAGCTACAGTAGTTACCATTCCAAAATCCAATAAGTCCCAAGATGCATGTAAGAATTACCGTCCCATATCTTTATTGAACACTGACGCGAATATGTATGCAAACATTTTAGCGAACAGACTAGGTAGCATTCTGCTGTCCCTTATCAATGATAACCAAACCGGGTTTGTTCAGTGAAGACTGGGATCAGATAACACTGACGGACCACCTGGCACCCCGACCGGGTACCTCTGTCAATCGCTGCTTCCTAGTACTTGCGAGTAACATAAGCACTGCACTGGAACACCATAACCACCGTAAACCCCATGAACCGCCGCAGCTTGGTTGGGGTCGATGCATCCTCCACCCACCCTGGACCCAAGACCAGGATTCAGCTTCCAGTGGGCAGACTTCTCCTAGTCCAGAGAGCGTAGCAGGAACAGCACTTATAAGTGCTAGTGATTATACTCAGGGAAGTATTGTGATATAGAAATCCACAGAGTGAATGTAGTTCTCCAAACCCCCAAACATGAGCCAAGACTTCATGAAGGGGGTAAACAAATCTCTCTTTAATGGGAGCCACACTTGGCCCACCTAGACAGAAAGAATATTAGCAATAAAAGTTGTGTAAGGGGCCCCAAAAAATGGAGATGCTTCCTGTTTGTTGATTTTTCTGAGCAATGTTAATAACAGCCTCCAGAGAGCCTGTTCTACACCAGATAAGTGAAGCCAGACTGCAGCCTGAGCCCATCATCATCCTCTTGTCCTCATCTGGTGGTAAGTAGGCAATCCAATATATTATTAGTGGCACTAATCACTAATTTACCTCACATTAAATGGACACTATAGTCAACCGAACCACTACAGCTTAATGTAGTGGTTCTTGTCAGTGGTGTACTTAGGATTTGTGCTACCCTAGGCAGGATGGTGCTCGGGCACCTCCCCCTAATTTAAATTTTCTCCACCCCTTCCTGTCAAGGCCGCACTTTGACTGACAGACGCTCACTCACTTACAGATTCACTCTCACTGACACACACTCTCATATACACTGACAAACAATGACATACACACACTCACTGATTTGACACACTGATAGACAGACATACACTATTACTCGGACACACACTGACAGACCAACACACACATTTTTCACTTAGGGTCCAGTGGGGCTGCTGGGCAGGGAGGCGGCTGGACGTGCAGGAGGGCAGTTGTTTACTGGGTGGGCGGCCACAAAAAACGTTCCCGAGCTCTCTGCACAGCTCCCTCGCGTAACCCGCAGTGATGCTCTGAGCCGGAATACGATGTCATATTCCGGCTCCCGGCATTACTGAGGGTCATGCGAGGGATCTGAGTAGAGAGCTCAGGGGAAAGTGCTCCCTCGCTGACAGCTTAGTATGGCCGCCCGGTGGCCAGCTCTTGGGCTCCCATAAAACGAGGCAAACAAGGTATTTGCCTGGGCATTTAGGGGCAGCGTTTTTTGCCGCCCCCTGGAAATTGCCACCCAAGGCAAATGCCTTGTTTGTCTCGCGGTAGACACATCCCTGGTTCTGGTATCTATAACCTGTCCCTGTAGACTTTTTAATGTAAACACAGTGACTTTTTAGAGAAAAGACACCATGTGCAGCACTGGCGTTGGCTGATATGGTAGATCATATGGGTTGGGCATTGTGATGTCATATGGGGGGGGGCGGCAAAAATCCTTGCACCAACCCTGTGTTTACTACTAATTATGTGTTATCTAACCATTACGGCAATTTTGCCCCGACCACAACTTGCATATATGCACATTTGTACGGTAAAAGATTATCTCAGGTGTTTTGTTTTTTTTTGTCCAGAGACCTGGGTCCCCTCCCCCCCTTTTCTCCCCTCCCAGAATATGTAAAACATTTTCACTTCTAGAGAAATTCACTTCTCTTCCAAGACATGGCTTTATTGGCTGCCAGTTTGGCAACCAAAAGCAGTGCTTCCTCATTGAATATTTTTTGAGGATGTAATGTTCTGTCCCATCACATGCAATACTGTATTCCGCTAATGCTTTTCATAAAGCGGTATTGAACTGGCACAGGATGACAATTGCTGCGCACGTGTTGGAGGTCCTCAATGCTTCTCAATCATTAAATTGGGCCAAGAATTAAAATTACTGATGCTCTCAGAGGCAGAGTGGCTTCTGTGATGAGTGTTCTGTTACATGTATCTTTTTAAGGGATTTTACATTTGTATAAAAAAAAAAACAAAAAAAAACCTGAAACTTGGATACCCTAACTATCCAAGAAAGTGAAACTAAAGAAGGGGAAAACCAGGTTGCTCCAAATAATATGTTGTAACTAACAGATATGAGCAAAAAAAGTTTCCAAAGCCAACAGTTCTTGGTTGGCAGCAAGAGATCTTGATAAAGAAGGTAAATACAGGAGGTAGTGAAGTATATTTCCCAATTTAGACCGGTTTCATGATCCGCAATGACGGTAAACAACAAAAAGAACAAGATGGTGTGGTATTGTATGCAACAGAGACAAAGAATTGTTTGAAAATACACTCACAAAAACAAGGTGCGTTCTATTAGCTCTCCTGCATCAGTGTCATAGGAAAGCATTGGGAGACTCTTACGCAATTCACGGTAAAACGCCACACTGTGCCAATTCGCATATCCCTATAGAAATGCATCTATGGGAAACGTTCATTAACTCCATGCAGGGTATGGACATGCTGAATGCCCTGCACTGACCCAGGCAGCACCTCTAGTGGCCATCTGAATGACTGTCATTAGAAGTGTTCCTAGGCAGCAATAAAAACACTGCATTTTCTCTAATGAAAGCACTTACAATGACAGGCTTCCCACTTTAATAACCATTCAGTCAGTGTTGCAAGTGACTTTGTATCTTTTGGATATTAAAATGGTATGAGATGGAACAAGAATATCTCAGGTTTGAATCCGATATCTTTCCCAATACAGTGGTAACCCCATGTATTTCCTGCCAGCATTTTATATATTTTCATGTGCCCCTGACATAAATGTATCACTATTACAAGTACTACTTCACATCCCCAGAATTTCTCAAAATGTTTTTTTTTTAGAGCGTTTATATAAAAGACTTAAGGTAAGGGATACCAATAAGTTGTAAAGTTATATTTAAAATACTTGAAATTTGGAGTGCCAGGGGCATTGACAAAAACAAAATCTTATGAAAAAAAACAAGGGGTTCATTGCACTCAACCTAACCTGCTTAAATTGGGTGCTGCTTGGGGGGGGGTGAGGCGTGCAAATACATACAGGAAAAAAGAGAAACCAAAAACAAAATCTTAATCCATTCAGTGTTTGTAAAAGATGGTTTGAATACCATATGTGTGACAAATCCAGTAGGCACTTTTCCAAGGGGTAATGTGAAGGCGGCAAGAGTACTCCAGGTTAGTACATACGCCACCTTCAGCACAATCTTTGTGGACATTTCTTGACTGAAGTACCCATTCCACTTTCCAGAGAAAGTTGAATTTCATCTGTTCCTGTATTCTAAGATGTCTGGATTACCCAGCAGTAAGGTTAATGGTCCGAGGCACAAGTGAGTTGAGTCTAAACAAGTAACAACTTAAGGTGGCTCTTAGGGGTGATTGAGAAGATTCATTAATTAAGGTCCTTCCTCCCTTATTCGCTTTCTTAATACACCAAAGGCTTCATTGTGCCAGTAGTTTTCCACTCTATAAATTGGAAGTGTTGTATAGCCTCGTAGTTTAACAATACATTGCAGCCAAATTTAAATAAGTGTTTACATTGCAACCTTGTGCTGCCATCATTGTAAGGAAAGTTCCAGAAAAGATTCCTGGTTGTCACATTAACATTTGACAAAATATAGGAGATAATATAATGAAAAGCCCATGGTGCGACGGTTACATTTGAAACTTTTTTTTTTCCCATCCCAAAAATAGTTTTGAATTCATTTCTTTTTGTAACCCAATTAATCTTGCCTGTATCTAGCAGAAGCCTCAACACAAATATTCTGCTTAACCTCTCCAGCTCTTCCTATACAGAGATGTAGCTTCCAATGCTTCTACAAAACATTAATAACCAAATAAAAAAAGCTCTGTGGTATAATGTTGCCCTTTACCATTACCTTGTTATCTGTGTGTGACTTAGTAAGTTATTTCCAAAATGAGAGGTAAATTAAATGGCAATATATAGACATGAAGATATGTTGATGCAATTAAAAATTGTCCTGAGGTAAGAAATAAAGTCCCAAGCAAAGAAGTGTTCTACATTATAAGCAAGGATGTGCACTGTTACAAAATTCCACTGAAAATTAAAACACTTTTTTGGCAAGTACAAAATTTATTTTTCAAAATGCACACATTTGAATTATGACAAGGCATTTTACAAGAAAATACATTTTATTATTTGTCATTTCCAAGTCAGGTTGCCAGGATTATATAACACAGTGCTAGTAAAGTGTCCACGGGACGAAGTAAAATAGAAGGATATTCTTGGTAGTGTGCTTTTGGTCTGTTTCTGCATGTGGTTTCTCCAACAAAGTCAGTGAGCAAGGAATAGTTAAGGCCAGAGCAGTCAGTTGCAGTCCGAGAAGCTGGTTAGCCGCTGTCACACGCACAGTGGCATTCAGGTAGCAGCGCAATGTGCGTTAGTCAGTGGCTCACCTACATCTGGAGATGATCTGGTCTTTTAATGGCATAAATACCATTGTATACTTACGCATACGGATGACATGATGATTGATAAATCCACAGCAAATGAGTAATACGAACTGAATCGTCCAAAAGGGTTTGCACAAGAGGCCTCTGCAGGAAAGAAAAAATAGAAAAAAAAAAAAAAAAAGTTAATTCTTTGAGGAATGCAGACAAACCATACCAACAGTTTAATCAAAACAACTCTCATATAAATTCATGCACAAATATCAATATTACGTGTAAGTGTAGAGGTCACTTCGTTTTCTGGTACCCATCATCAATAGGAAATTTAAGCCATTCCTCTCCATTGAAGGAGCATTATAGGGCCAGGAACATAAACATGTATTCCTGACCCTATAGGGTTAACCCCTTAAGGACTGAGCCAAATGTACACGTTGTGAACAAGACAAAACCTGGCATTTGCGCTACGTCTGTCCAACCGTAATTCACCTCTTTCATATTAAATGCACCCACCCTTATTTTATTTATATTTATATATATATATATTTATTTTTTATTCAGGGGAAACAGGGCTTTCATTTAATATCAAATATTTAGCTATGAAACATAATATGAAAAAAAAAGGGAGAAAATAAGAATAATTTTTTTAGTTCTACATGACATTTTAACTGTCAATGTCATAATACTGTTTGCTTTTACTGCAATAAAATACACATTTGTATTCAGCAAAGTTTCACGTGTAAAACAGTACCCCCTATGTACAGGTTTTATGGCATTTTGGGAAGTTACAAGGTTAAATATAGCACGTTACATTTTAAATTGAAATTCGCCAGATTGGTTACGTTGCCTTTGGGACGCTGTAGTAGCCCAGGAATGAAATTTACACCCATAATGGCATAACATTTGCAATAGTAGACAACCCAAGGTATTGCAAATGGGGTATGTCCAGTCTTTTTTAGTAGCCATTTGGTCACAAACACTGGCCAAAGTTAGCGTTAGTATTTGTTTGTGTGTGAAAAATGCAAAAAAATGCCAATTTTGGCCAGTGTTTGTGACTAAGTGGCTACTAAAAAAGACTGGACATACCCTGTTTGCAATACCTTGGGTTGTCTACTATTGCAAATGGTATGCCATCATAGGGGTAATTTTCATTCTTGGGCTACCATAGGGTCTCAAAGGCAACGTACCCAATCTGGCAAATTTTATTTATTTTTTTATTTCAGTTTTTCTTTATTTCGTAAAGACAAGTTATGGGGTACAGAAAAGAAGAGGGAAGCAGTCTGTTGTTACAGATCGGGGTTACATAACAATATGTGCATAGAAATATACTTCCATCCCTGCTTGAGTCTAAGACAAACCCGGTTACAGTTAACTTTAGATCTGTTGAATCATCTTGGGTAAATCCTTGCGGATGGTGCGGTTGTCTTTATCTAAAACCTATGGGGGGGTTAAGAGGTAACTCGGGGTAGTAACCAGTCGGGGGGCTGGGGAGTAATGGGGAGTGGGCTGGGGAGGGGGTCGAAAGGGGGACCTGCCTGGTGTGGTGGGTAGTCCTTGGTCCTTGTGTTGGTCGTGTATTCGGTCGTGTGCACTGGCTTATTTCCTGGATCTCTAGGTGATCAATCTAGGAGAGCGGGGTGGTCTTTTCCTCTGGGGATCTATTCCAGAACCCTATCCAGGGCTCCCATTTCTGGAGATATTTCTGTCGTTTCCCTATTGAAGTCCAGTGGATGTCCTCTAGTTCTCTGGTTCGTTCTACCCTTTGTACCCACTGTTCTATGGATGAGGTGTTGGTATTCCGCCAATTTAGCGGGATAAGGGCGTTTGCTTCCCCTAGTAATAGGTGTAGCAGTTGTTGTTTGTGGAGTTCCGTAAATGTGCGGGGCCAGCTTAGTAGTACTTGGGATGGTGTAAGTCGGGTCAGGGGTTTCAGTATCATGGTTATTTTAGCGAGTATGAGGAGCCAGAAACCCTGAATGTCTCGGCAACTCCACCAAATATGTTCTATAGTTCCTAGACCGGTGGAGCATCTCCAGCATATGTTACTGATTGATGGCCAGATTGAGTGTAGTTGGGTTGGGGTCCTGTACCACCTGGTGACTCTTTTATAGAATGTCTCCCTGTGTGCTACACTGGTTGGGGTTTTGAATCCCATTTCCATGATCCCTGGCCAGTCTTTGTCAGAGATATGTATTCTGAGATCTTTCATCCAATTCTGTTGAAAGGGTAGTGGTTTGTGTTCCTCCACTGAGCCCTGGAGGATGCGGTAGACTTTAGATAAAGGGCGTCGGGGGTCTCCCTCTGGGCCACAGAGGTGTTCAAAGGGCGTGTGTGCTCTCTGTTTCCAGAGGGGAATAGCGGTTCTTTTCAGGAAGTTTCTGAGTTGGGCTTTGCCTATCACCTCAATGAGTGTGTCTTGTCTATGTGGTCCATATATGGCCTTGACCGTGGGTGGGTCTCCCCCTATCAGTTCGGTTATGTCCGGGGTGGGCGTTCCCACGAGGTGAGAAAGGAGTGGTCCCCCTCCACCCCCCTGAAAATCAGGATTGTCTGCTATGGGGAAGAACCTTGACAGTCCCCATTGGTCTTTATGTCTTCTCCATATTGTGAGGACATTGTGTATGAGTGGGTGTCGTGTCGTGGTGAGTTTTGGTAGGCTGCATTTTTGCCACGGCAAGGTGTGTAGGGGGACAGGTGTAAAGCTCTGTTCTAATGTGTACCACGATTTTTTCCTTTTGGTGTCTGTCCATTCCTTTAGACGGGTGAGCAATACTGCAACATAGTATTTGTATAAGTGGGGCAGTCCCAGTCCCCCCCCTGTCTGTGGTGGAGGTTAGTGTGGTGAGAGCTATCCTTGCTGGTTTGTTGCCCCAGATGTATTTGGTGAAGATTGTCCGCATCTGTCTGAAGAATGTCTCTGGGAGAGGGACCGGTAGGGCCTGAAAGAGGTATAGTATTTTCGGGAGAATCATCATTTTCAGAATGCTGACCCGTCCCATCAGGGAGAAGTAAGGTTGGTCCCACTTTTGGAGGTCTCGTTTAATCTTGTCTATAAGGGGGGGGATAGTTTAGTTTGTATAGGGTCATGGGTGATGCGGTGAGTAGTATCCCCAAGTATGTCAGTCCCGTCCGAGTCCATGGGAAGGTATGTCTTTGTTGGATTCGTGTTTTCAGGTGGTACCGCTATTCCCAGTATTTCGCATTTGTCAGCATTTATCTTAAAGTTCGAGAGGGAACCAAAGGTGTCGATCTCGGTTGTTATGTGTGGTAGTGATTTGGTCGGGTCTGTGAGCGTGAATAGGACATCGTCCGCAAAGGCGGATACCTTCACCTCCCCTCCCTGAAATCGATAGCCCCGTATTTCAGCGCGAGACCTGATTGCGTTCAGGAAAGGCTCCATGGCCAAGACAAATAACAGGGGCGAGAGGGGGCAGCCTTGTCGAGTGCCGTTGCTTATTGGAAACGGCGTCGATAGGTGGCCGTTTACTCTAACACTAGCTGAGGGTCCCCTATACAGAGTTTTTTTCCAATTCCGCAGTCTTGGGCCCATCCCCAATATTTCTAGGACCGTAAATAAGTAAGACCAATCCACCCTGTCGAAGGCCTTTTCAGCGTCAATAGCCATCAGCAGAGTAGGTGTTTTAGTCACCGTTGCTCCATGGATGACGTTTAGAATTTTCGTGGTATTATCCCTAGCTTCGCGGCCTGGCACAAAGCCCGCTTGGTCAGGGTGGATTAGGTGCAGTAAGAGGGGTTTGAGCCTGTTGGCGATCATCTTTGCCATTAGTTTGAGGTCTAGATTTATTAGTGAAATGGGTCTATAACTGCCACATTTAGTGGGGTCTTTGCCCGGTTTAGGGATGATAGTGATAGATGCCTGTAGCATCGGGGTGGGAGGGGGGTGTCTTGGGTTAGGCCATTTAATGTTTTCAGAAAGTGAGGGGATAGTTCTTGTGTGAATGTTTGGTAGTATCTGGCGGTCAGTCCGTCTGGGCCGGGGCTTTTACTTTTCGGCAGTGCCTTAATTGTGGCGAGTAGTTCCGTTTGTGTGAACGGTTCATCTAATGTGTGTATTTGGTCATCTGGGATCTTGCGTGGCAGGTTTGCCGAAATGTATTCCCTCAGGTTGTGGTTCTGTGTTTTTGGGGGGGTTAGGTTATAAAGGTTTGTGTAGAAAGCATTGAACGCCTTGGCTATATCTTCTGTAGTGTTGTGTTGTCTACCTGAGTCATCTGATATTTTGTCTATGAACGATCTCTGCCGTTTGGCTTTCAAGGCTCTAGCCAGTAGTTTCCCACTCTTGTTACCATGAGCATAAAAAGTGCTTCTTGTCAGTTGAGTGGATCTATATGCCTTTGCGGTTAGTAGCGATCTTAATTCTATGCGTAGGGCTGTTAGTTTCTGGAAGTTGTCATTTGTGGGATCTTGTTTGTGTGTGGTCTTGGCTAAGTGCATGTCTGCTATGAGAGAGTCCATTTTGAGGGTCAGTTCTTTCTTGATTCTAGAGCCCCATTTGATAAGGGTGCCTCTGATAACTCCTTTATGGGCTTCCCAAACCCAGGGGTCTGATACCTCAGTATTCCCATTATCAAAGAAATAGTTTCCTGCCGTCTGTCGCAGGTCGTCTAGAACTCTGGGGTCATCAAGTAGGGTTTCGTTAAGTTGCCAGTGTGTCGTGGGTTTGGGTTCTTTCTGGAGGGTGACCGTCAGGGAAATTGGAGCGTGGTCAGACCACGTAATGTTACCTATGGATGCGTCTTGTAGTAGTGGGAGATGTCTGTGGCTGAGTAAAAACATGTCTATTCTGGAGTAGCTTTTGGCTGCCTGAGAATAAAATGAGTAGTCTTTGTCTTGGGGGTGTAGTATACGCCAGCAGTCTACGAGCTGGTGGGTACGTAAGGCAGTAGAAAAGTGTTCTTTGGTGTTGCTTAGGGTCCGCGGATATAGAGGAGCTATCTAATGCGTGGTCTAATACCATATTCCAGTCCCCGCCTACTAAAACTACCCCCTCCGCAAATGCATCCAGTTTAGTCAAACATGACCGTATGTAGGATACTTGGTCAGCGTTGGGGGCGTATATACTTGCTAGCGTTATGAGGGTACCGTTATATACTCCTTTAACAAATACAAATCTGCCTCTAGGGTCAGTTTTTACCCCCGTTTCTGCGAATGCAGCATTGGAGGCTAGCAATATTGCCACCCCTCTGGTTTTCTTTTGCGTATTATTACTATAATAAGCTATATTGTTT